CTGGTTATCCGGTTTCGGCATGACCTCGCCTCGTGACGCGAGCCTCGGAGCGCTCGCGTTTGCGCTCGCAAAATCAAGGTAAACCCATCGCACGAACACACATTCGCGATTAGCCCAATTCCGCTCTTTTTCTTCTCCTCCCTCCCCTCCCCTCTCCCTCCCTTTCTCTCCGCCCTCGCGCTGTCTTCCCTTTTCATTATACGTCCCATAATGCCCATAAAGCTTCCGCAGCGGTATCGTATTACTCGACGTTTACCGAGCCTCGTCTCCATTAACGCGTTATCAAGCCTGCGAAAATTGTATACGTATAATGCCGAATGATGTTGCACGATGAGTCGTCAAACTCCGCGAATGTATCTTTGACAAATTTCATCCCTTTTCGACGGAAATTATGGCCAACGATCGCTCAATTATTATAAAAAATCCCCTCTTATTGAGGATCGAACTTTAGAAGAAATAAAGAATGAAAGTTTATTTAAATATATATATATATATATATATATATATATATATATATATATATATATATGTGTATATTATTTTTAAAAGGAATTTTAAAAATTTGTAGGTATATATTATTTTTTTAAAACGAATTTTAATTTATGTCATATTATATATATATATATAAAATTTTAAAAACAAGAAATTCCTGTAAGGTGTTATTTAATTTCAAGGCTGGGAACCAATTTGCGACTTAAACGGCGAAAAAAAGATCGCGTCGAGGCCTACCATTCTGTTTTAAATCGCGTTAGCTCTTTAATCCATTTATCCGTTTCATTAGAAAGGCAGTGAGACGTTCATTATACTTTCCAAGTCCACGTGCAACTTGGTGGCCGATAGAGCTTCGTCTATTATCCGGGTTAATTTAAAGCGATTCCACTCTTTTAAGATTATAAGTTAATGAAACTCATCGCGCAAAGTTGCATGTTAGACTTTTAAAACGCGTAGATCTTAAAACAATTATCCGCTAACCGACATTAGTTCAAAGATTTATCCCGCCTTTTTTTTTTTTTATGGTAAACACACTTGACTCTTCTCGTTTCTTATCTCGTAGACTTGAGTAAAGTTCGATTCATTTACTATCTATAAAAATTCGTAATTCATAATTATTCTAATTCATAATATAGAAAAAAATAATATAATAACATCAAAACATAATAATAATAATAATAATAATAATAATAATAATGTCGGGAAAATAATCTCTACAAATATTCACATACAAACGCTAACAGTAATCAAGAACGCTATTCTTCATTGATTGACAATTAACTCATTGATTGTTCATTAATTTTTGTAGTTATAAGTATGAAACTTTTCGAAAACATTGAATAATAATAATAATAATATCAGGAATAATCTCTACGAATATTCATGCAAACGCTAACAATAATCAAGAATTCGCTATTCTTCGTTGATTGACAATTAATTAACTCGTTGATTGTTCATTAATTTTTCACGTTACAAGTATGAAACTTTTCGAAAATGTTGAATACACATATATATATATATATATATATATATATATATATATATATATATATATATTTAGAATGGAATCGTTTTTCATTAATATTATATGATTTGTAAAACGTATTATGTTAAAATGAAACAGAAAGCGACAAGATGTATCTTAATTAATTCATATATTAATTATTGTAAAATTTTAATGTACACAGTTACGTGTGAAACGAACAACGTTTCCCTCGATCTTTTAATTAAAATACCAGCACTTTTTCAAGCAACACCTATGTCAGACTATTTGCACAAAGTAGGGACAACTTGTGGTCTTCCTTTCTTTTTTTTTTTACAAATGAGATCTGCCCGTTGCGCTTTTTCCGCGGTGAAAGCAGCGAAAGTTCGATCAGGCCGCGCGTGACGAATAAAACGAAATATTCGACATGGGCAGAGTGATGACATCGTTAGATCCACATCGCTAGATATTCAGGTGATGGTACCTGCACGATGGATGAGCTAGAAACCGTTATTCAGAGTGACCCATTAAGAATATATTTAACTACGACTTTACTTTCATGATATTTCAGAATCATCCTCTGTCCTCTACGAGACTTTTACTCGTAATTAATTATTCATTAACTTTCATATCTACCTAGTTTGATGTTTTTTTTGAAAAAATCATATTTCAAAGCAAACGAATGGAGCTAATAATGAAAAATAAATATCCTCGCGATATATTTATATCGCACGGAAAAGCCGATGAAACAAAACATGATATGGGACAAAACATGATATAAGTCAAAAGAAACGAAGCTTTGGACAAAGGATCAAAAAAAGAATGGATCTAAAAATATGAATTAAATAATTGGCTGGTACCACTACATGAATAAGTTGTTTTAAAGTTCAAACGTATATCGATGGAAACTGCTTTCGCGACTTTCGTGAATTCACACACGTGAATTTGAGGGATTTGGAGCTTGTTATACGCATCAGTGAGAGAACCTCTTCCCCTCTGTGCTTGCTGTGCTTGCTCTGTGAGCCTAAAATTCTAAATCAAGCACAGAGCAAGATTAAAACACACCCCTCTCTCTTTCTCTCGCTCTCTTTTCCTTTCTTCGGACACTAATGAACGAATTGTCAGGTCGGTCGCGCCCTTTCGATCGATCCATCGATAGAAAGCGTGATTTCGCGTGCGAATAAACTTGCGGCAATTTGCACTTGAATGGAGCTCAGAACTAGTCACCTCAGTCGCCGTTGCTCCAGAAAACCGATATCTCGTTATCGACATATTATAAGATGACGGGGCGAGATTAAGTTTTGAGGCGTGCATTATAAAGAATATTGTACGCGCCTTGCTTTTTTCGCTTGTCACTTTTATTTCTATTTAATTGTTTTTTAATAATCTACGATTCATTTGAAAAATATATAGCAGGATACAGGGTATTTCTTAATAAGTGCGAAAAATTTTAGGAGATGATTTTTTGTCGAAAATTAAGGGGAGTTTTTCATATAAATATTGAAAAATTCTGATAAAAAAATTGAATAGAAGTTGCTAGTTTCATTCTCTTATAACAATACACAGGAGGATACACTGAAAAAAAATATTAATAAGTAACCTTTTTACTAGTAGGAAATATCCACCTAATTTTATTTTTTTAACTTGTTTCAAATTTAAGAAAAAAATAAAAACCTAATTTTTATTCCCATTTTTGAAGGAGTGTAATTCCACAGGAAGGGATGTAGGAATATATGTTTATATGAAAAACCCCCCTTAATTTTCGACAAAGAATCATCTAAAATTTTTCGCACTTATTAAGAAATACCCTGTATATTTATTTTACTATTATATTTTACTATTATTTTACTATTATAAACAATAATTTATTTGACAAAAATGGACATGGAAAAAATATTTCTTACGTTTTTAGCATGTATCTCGTAAACGTTCTCATAAATGACACGTGTAGAATTTTACAACGGTGTTGCCCTTGGCATGTAGAACTCTTTCAACAAAGAATAATCCTCTGAAAGTGTAGACTTTACAGCTTTTTTATGTCGAGTCATTCTCTATTCACAGGCATGAGATAATTTTCCAAAAAATAATTTCTTGAACGAGAGAGAAAAGTGAGAGATCATGTTTATTAAAACGTGATCTAAAACAAACCACAAACGAGGCAAACTTCGATGATCAAAGAATCATGAAAAACTTTGTAATAATAATGTTGTCGCAGATATATTTCAGGTAAAAAAAACTAAGAACTTATATTCGAGAAAGAGAATTCGTTCAAACCGCAGGAGTTTTATTGAAGGATACCTTCTCAGAAAAAAAAAAATCGAAATTTCTCAAATTTCCATCCACAACTTCGTTCGATCTCTATTGCAGAACGCGACGAAAAATAAAATAAAACGTATCACCGTGTCGTAATTCTATTCTTGTCGAAACCTACGATCAACTTTTGCCCGTTGTTCGCAAATCTATAAAGTGCCTACGGAAAAATTGTTTATTAATTTAGACAACGGGAATATGTCTTGCGATTCCTCGTAGTATGCTCGTTATACCTTAATTATATCGCGCTCATCCACTATTATTCCCGCGTCGTACACTTTACAAAACGTGCCCTCCGGCTTCTCTCCTCCTCTCGTGGCGCGAAAATTCCCGCAATGCCAAGGGGGAGTGTGGTACACCAGGCGATAATGCGAGTCGCGCGGGGACGATGATTTAACGCTTTAACAGCAGATTGTCGCGACCGCGAAGACCGCAAAGGGTCACGAGCGGTCGGTCGCTCGGGGCCCTCCGGTCCAGCTACGTCGTAGTCGTCGCCACCAAGCTGCTAATTATTTATGTTGCCCGATCTTCGCACCCTACGTTAATTGAATTCGCGTTCGTCCGTGGGAGGGGTCGACTGTCCCCGGTAATTTCCCGATGCACGAGGTGCACGCTGATTGTACTGTCGATGAACGCTCGTTTGAGCTCCTGCTGTTCACCGTAATGATCCTCAAATTTACTGCAATTTGCGATATATTTTCAAAGAAGAAGAGTAATGCTTACATAATGGCAAAAGAAAGGATACATCACATGTACATTATTATATAAATAAATTATATTGTAATAAAAATAAATTATAAATAAATATAAATTTAAATAAATTATAAATAAATTATATTGTAATAAAAAATATAATATATATTAAAAGTAATTAATGTGATAACAAAAATATATAAATAATATAGTCTATAATAATAAAATAATGCGAGAAAATAATATAAATCATAAATATTGCTGATAATTATTTTTTTTCTGAACAGATGAGAAATATATTTGCATTGCCATATATAATTTACAAATGCTTCTGATGCTTTAATAAGACTTATATATGTAGAATGATTTAATTAGCACATGCAAATTAATTTTTATAAAAAATTTACATGATCAATCTTAATTTGAGATTTTTTTTAATTCTTTTTAATTTGTAAAGAAAACAATGATTTTTATTTACACATAATTGATATCTTTTTAATCAAGATGTTTGTATGCATTACAGATAAATTTACGCCTCATCCTCGTCAGTGGCAAGACAAAAGAGTTCCTATTCAGTCCGAGCGATTCTGCGGGCGATATAGCGCACCATGTGTTTGAAAATTGGCCGGATGGTGAGTTAGTCAATATCGTTTCGAAACTTTGCTTGCGCCAATCCATTTCATTATCATTGTTATAATTGCTATAGTAACGGGATCTCCCGTGATCTACTCGCAATTATTATCATTAATTACCGAGATGCCATTATGTTATGAGAATATAGTTGCACAATTATTTATGAAACGTATTCAAGAAATCCATTAGAATTTTTCTAGATTCAAGAATTTTTGAATGAGAGAATTTAGATATCTCAGAAGAAAAATAAAAAATTCAGAAAATTTAACGTGTTGAACATTAAAAATATTATTAATGTAATTAATAAGCGAAAAATTAAGAAACTTGTTTCGATATTTTCATTATTCTTAATAAAATTGCATCCCGGAATTTTATTAAGAGTATTGAAAATATCGAAACAAGTTTATGTATATATAATATATATGTATAACTATATATAATATATATGTAAAAACTTTTTAAAAATATTTTATCTCCGTTAAAATACTAAAAATTTGCGTAATATGTAGAGAGTAGTTTTTCATTTTAATAAATTGATACATAAAAATTACAAATTTATGGAATTATAAAGTTATGAACACAAACAGAGTAAGTAGAAAATTTCGCTCGATTTTCAATAGAAATATTTGTCTCGTATTTTATACCGACATCAAAATACGTCTGTTACGTTACTTTTTGAAGGTTCGGGAGTTTCGGATACTCGAAAACTTTTCGCGAACAGTTGAATCGAGCAGAAGAGAGAGCTCTCAACATCCTGCAAATGTTATCTTCGTGTTGCAGACTGGGCAGAGGAAGCGGTCGCTAAGGCGGAGATCCTGCGGTTAATCTACCAGGGTCGTTTTCTGCACAGCAATGTCACGCTCGGTGCTCTTGGGCTTCCCTTCGGAAAAACCACGGTGATGCATCTGGTGCCGCGGGAAAATCTTCCGGAGCCTAATTCTCAAGGTGAGTTCGCGAGATGCATAAAGACTGTTGCAAAACTTTTTATATCGCGAGCTTTTTTCTCCCCCGCGCTTCTCCTCAAAGATCTCGTCGCAAAAACATATGTACATCGTTTTCTTTTTTTAGCTCCTCGCAATAAACTTTATCGCAAAATCATAATCACTAAATTAATTACAAAACTATCATCTGACTCACAAAAATCTTTTTTTTATATATGTTATTAATTTTTATGCCTGCAATTTGAATGTTTATTAAATCACTTATAAAGTTTGATTATTTGATAAAGAAATTATTTTTTTAAATTGGATCAATAAAAAAACTAGTGCGAAGAAAGTAATTAACACATTGTTTCTTAAAATAAATTCATGTCTTCATACATCTTTTTTTAATTATTATATTTTTTATTATATAAAAAGTGTATATATATATATATATATATATATATATATATATATGTGTGTGTGTGTGTGTGTGTGAAAAAAATATATACATATTTTTAATATATCTTTTCTAAAGAAAAAGAATTTACCCCTGGCCAAGGGTTAATTCCTTGCAACTTATATAAAAATACATTGGGCACACTTTACCATACTTTTATTAATATCATGTCAAATCTGTACTCGTTATCGTTCTTTAAATTTGTTTACTCGTCGGTCTAAACTGAATCTATCACATATCGGTACGTGATGCGCTTGCGTAATTATTACGGTAAAATCTCGTTACAACGAGCTGCCGCCGTGGATCTCGAAATTGAATTTGTTATACCGAAAGTTCGTTATATCAAGCCGCGTATTAGATGCGGAGATTCAATCACACTTCGTTACAACGAAAATGTCGCGTTCCATCGGTATTCATTATAACGGAATTATATCGATTAGCTGTATTTAGCTGCTATTTGACAATAGTTTATGCAAGACACTGAAGAACGCACGAATATTTTAAGAACGTAAGAGTTTTTGAATAGAAATCTTTTTTTAGCAGAAATATTGAAAGATATATCATTATTTTTTTTTCAATTTTGCAAATTTCAAGGTTTTAGTTAAAAATGACACAAATTACAATATAAAAGCGTTTCAAATATTATGTTAAAACAGAATTAAAAAGTAAATTGGAGAAAATTCTATATCTTAAAATAAAAAAAAATTACATTAATATAAATTTTAAATTTATTTTTTATAAAAATTGTATTAAATAGTTAATTCCATATTATATATATAAATATTTTCGCATTTCTACAACTTAATTTGGAAAAGGTTTCTCGATTTATAATTAAAAGATTTTTAATTAAAACGTGACTTTTGATATTTTCGCTAAAATAAAATTTACTTCAATGAAATTTATCTCCAAATATCATTCACGCGTTCTGAGGCATTTTGTTATTTATTTGGCCCAAATGCACTGATAAGTTAGGCGACACGGTTCGCGTATGCATCGTTATCGATTTTGCACAGGTCACTGTGCAATCGGTTATCAGTGAAAGTTCAGATTCTACTCGCAGAATCATTCGTCGCGTTAAAATGATCGTCACACAATTTGCCATTGCGCAACATTGTCATTATCATTCGTGCATTCTATATAATCTTGCGCAAAATGCACATTTCGCAACTCTTTGCGTTCCCCTTTGCAGCTTCTCTGTCATTTCCGTTGCACACGCACTTCCGTTTTCGCGAGCCTTCCCGGGGAATCTAATTTAGTGACGATCAATTTAATAATGGCAATTAAATTGATAGATATGCCCAACAGTTTGTTTTTTCTTTCTGTCCTTTTTTATGTCGCGATATCAACTTTATCGCATGCGACTCGCTTACTAATAATTATTAATCGATGTGACGCTAAGTGCGACGGATAAAACACGGGCAGGTAGTTAATAATCAGCTTTGATCGACGGAGAAGATAATCGTTGAGGAGCGACGCATTGTGCAACTTCCCAACAACACGTTGCTACTTCGCAACACGAAGGTTTCCTCCTTTCTAAATTGACTTTTTCACTTGTGCATCAGCAATATAAATTGTAAAATTTGAAAAAAAATGCATGTTTATATCCGCATTTCTGTTGTAAACAAAAAAATGATTAAGAGGACGAGTAAAAAATTAAATTTTTTTCTCAAATATTTGTCGATTAATTAAGTTGTTATTACTTGATTAAATAACATCGAAATATAATAATTTAACAAATATTTTAAATAATATTTATATTTATGTACGTTATAATATATATTATAATATATATTTGTATTTATACACATATATTGATTAAGATAACTCGTTGTTTTCTATTAATATCGAATTTATTATCTTCAATTTAACGATTGTGTATTTCCAATTATCTTATATCTGAACATTCTTTTAAATCTAAATTTTATTATATTTATATTTTGATGTTGATTATTCTCGATTTAAGATATCGGTACTTATTAAATGCATATTTAATTACATCGATTAATAATCAAGTATCGATGATTTTTATTCTTGTTTAATCTCTTTTTTTAGGTATTCTGCCTAACGGTGAGTTTATGTATATCCTGTCCGATGATCCTGAAAACTATGACTTCAACCATATGATACCGTTCTAATCCTTAATCCAACGTGTGAGTCTTCCTAATCCTTACCGCTTACTCCCGCAAGTTCCAACCTATTACATACGTTTCCATAACAGTGAATAAATATAATGAGAAAAATAGCGTACACCCTATCGCTCGGAAAAATGATTTAATAACATCGCATGACATGACAGCTAAGTGGGATCCGACAGAAAGGTATCATTTATGATTAAGTGGGATCCAAACGGATCTACGGTATTCTTTTCCCGCAAAAGATTTCGCGATATCTTACACTTAATCATATTATACGCTATAATTATATTACAGAAAAAAGTAGAAAACAGATGTTTTCTTTATGGTATTTCTCTAATATAATTAAATCAATTTAGATATAAAATATAATATCGCGTGTTTTGCATCGAAAAATTAAAAAAAAAAAAAACAAAATATAAAAGTTTAAATCTAAAAGGAAATAAAAAAATAACTAAAATGAAAAAATATCGAGGAATGCTACTGATTTTATTGCCAATTTTATTTCATCAAAAAAAATATGTATATATACATGTAAATATTATTAAATTTCCTCGGAAAAAATGATACGCGCGATTTCTCAAGATCCCATCAAAAGCCCGTAAATATATTCCTCACTTTTTAATCAATCGTTATTTTGCGAAAACATTTAATATAATATTTTATATATATATATATATATATATATATATATATATATATATAATATTTATATTTACTCTTCAGATATTTAGATTTTATTTTTTATCTGTATAATATTACATGTGCACATTCTTCGACATGTTTTTTTTCGCGGTGCTGAATCAACAGGAGACGCGAGGACATAACGACTGACACGTACGTGTGCTTCTGTTCCAGATCAGAGACAAAAAAGTAAAGGCGGCGGAAGTAGTTGCTGCTCGGCTTCCTGCTGTATACTCTAGATCGCCCCGGTGGTCGTCGCCGACGTGGACCCGGTGGTGGATTTCGCGCGGATGGGCGCGCGGCACAGACGAGCGCGGGCTCACCCGAGCGCTGAGCCATGGTTTCTAAGATTTCATGCTGATGTATAATCGTTAGTGGCTGAGCTCGTGAGCAGTGTAGCACGAGAGAAAGAGGGAAAGAAAGATTATGTCGCTCCGGTACCCGTTGAACGGAGCGATGATGAGGAGCAAACGATGCGGGCAGCAACGGTGCGGTTCCCCAACGGCGCGGATGGCATGTCATCGTCGGGGATTTCGGTTCGTTTAGTAGGCGATAATGCGTGCTCGATCGATACCCGCTCGCGGGGAAAACTCCGCTCGGAAAGAAGAGAAAGAAGGGCGAATAGGGTAGCGTTGCCGAGCGAACGGATCGTTGCTGGCACGACGAGTTAGAGTTTGCCGAGATGAGGTCTCCGGGTCGCCGAGTTGCGCCGATAGCGATGGTAGACGGTTTACTAACTTCGGCTAACGACGTCACTTTGGACGTTATGGCTCTTGTTGTGATATACAGACGGACGTGAAAAGGATTTGATTAACGACAATCGATTTTGTTAACGGCTTAAATTAAGTTTCGATTGACTTTTTTCCCTCCTCCCCCTCTCCCTAGTGTCTAGCTTGCGATGATTGTAACATCGGAAGAGACAGAGAAAGAGAGAGAAGGTATATATAATTGTTATTCTCGTAAAGTTAGCTAATTGACTTAACTGAATTTTGATTAACTAAATAAATTTAATTTAACCGCGCTGGTTAACTAATTTTGCATGATGATATTTCTTCATGCATTACATTGCTAATTTACATTGCTATAATGTAGATGAAATAATCGTAAATGTAGTTAGCAATATTGATTAAATTTTGGTTAGGGATTATGTTATTGTTCTTTTCTATATAGATTATAGCAGTAGCTGTAATATTGACAAAACGAAAAAATTTAGTTAATAGACTTATCTAGATTTTTTTGGCGAACGATCGATCCTTTTTCTTAGATTATGCTTGCAGTTATAATATAGCGAAAAGGAGACAGAGAGAAAAAAAATGGTTTTATTAATCATAAGCTTTTAATTAGCACACTTTCTCTCTCTGTCACACATACAGTTAACTTTAGTTTCGATTGCACGTCCTCTTGACCTAAATTAATTTAATTAATTTCTTTCTTCATCTCTATACATATTTTTTTTTAAAGAAGCAAAATTAGATTTTAAGATGAAGCGTCACTTGAATATTTTATAAATATCATTCAAGTTAATCATATACTTTACACTTAACACCATTCGGTGTCGGTACAACCGGCCTCGAAGATCAAGAAAAGGGGACAACGGAAAGGCGCACAATTGCGTGGACGTGATATCATTTTTATTCGCCCAGATATAGGAAACTGCGTGCACGATAAGACGAATAGATTTTCCAGGGGGAGAAGTCGAGTAGCAAAAGAGCTACAACGGTTCTGAACGATACATTCGAGACACACCCTGGAATGGCGCTACAATGCTTAGAAACTCAACCACTATCACAGTACTCTGCAGCGTTATAATAATTACGTAGAGACGGGATTGTATGCGTGCTTGCGTAAATATGAGTGTATCGCGTCCAAATGAGGAAGAAAGAGATGGAGTGAGTGAGTAAGAGAGCGAAAGAGACGAGAGAAAGATCGAAGAAAGAATAAAATTTATGTTGTGATATGCAGGTAGCGAATATATATATATTATATATATATATATATATATGTATATACAGAGTGTTCCTAGCTAATCGCGCTTTCTGCCGATGGTAGAGAGGTACTGCGTTAATAGTTGAAGAGAATTTTTGCGTGAGAAAGTTTGGCCGTTTTCGATGCGAGAAAAGGATAAGTCACTTTACAGTAAGTTTTATTAGTCACGGTAAGAGGACGATAAATATGCGAAGACTGATACGGATTTACGATCATATATTTTCTTAGACTCATTCCGTATTAACTATTTACGCGGTGTTTTTCGTCTCCAACAGAAACTGCGGTTGGCCAGAGATTCTCTGCGTATATAGAATGTTGAAAGAAGAGAATGCAAATATTCTATTTTTTGGAAATTTTTTTTTATAACGTCTTTTTTCTAGTTGTTGTCTTTCATGTCTTGACAATTCTGGTTATCGATGGCTATCAAGCCATCACACAATTTGAATTTACTTGAATTTAAGCGTGCATATAAATTGTATTGAAATTATATATATATATATGTACAATACATATATGTGTGTACATGTATAAGTAAAATATAATATTGCAAAATATAATAAAACATATAATACTTTAATTTTATATAAATTTTGGGGGAAAAAATTATGAAAACTACTTATTATAATATATTTTTCGATAAAGATATAAATGAAGTGATCTCAAATAGATTGTTATCATGAGTTTAATATATCTACTTGTATCCTTCTTATCAATCTATTTTGCGGCAGAACTTTACTTGGCGTTCAAAGTTCGTTCGTCAAAGATGAATCACGTCATGATATTTAAAAAAAAATCATTTTTAAGTCGAACGAAAAACGTTCGTTGGCGTAGTTTTGCATCCTCTTCTCTTGACAACTCGTATATACGTATTATTATCGAAGTCGTGTGTGCATTTTAGTGTGTACGCGCGACGGTATGAGACACGTTGACGCTCTCATACGAATAGAGGACTTTTATTATTATGAATTTAAAGAGGAAGTAATATTATATGACGCCACTTTGAGAGTTTAGTATTCCGGAATATAAAAAAAAATTATCGGAAGAAAGAGAGAGAGAGAGAGAGAAAGAGAAAAAAAGAGCGAGAGCGAGAGCGAGAGAAAACATTGGATCTCTATAATGAGTAGTTATGATTAAATGAAAACTCAAATATATTTCCTGTTATATATAATTCCCCCTCGTCCCCGCCAATCCCCCTTGATCCTCTCTCTATTATTCCATCTTCTCTTGTCTCCCCTCCCCTCCCCGTTCCTCCACCCTCTTCGTGTTACCCGTCCATGCGAATCTGTCGGGCCTAGAACGTCGCTCTCGTTAGACCCAGAGAAGTAATTCCACGCTATGAATTTACGTGCCCATTTCGAGTATCAATCGTAGTTAGATCCAATCAAACCGTTACGACGAATACGTTGTAGGCGATTCTCTACATATTAATACACACATACATACACACACACACACACACATACACACGCGTAAAGAGTAACTCTCTCTAACATACTATCTAACATACTCTCTCTAAACATACTATCAGTAATCGTACTGTAATTCTTACGAAATGCATAACCCTGTGTATATATATATAATGCAATGTTCTTACTGTAGTTAAATTTGCGAGAAGAGAAGAAGGGGAAAAGCCAGAAATTTGTGCGATCAACAGCGCGAGCTATGTTTAATTTATTTCTCTTGTATACACGTACATACACACACGTACACATTATATATATATTCGCGAAGTGAAACGCGAAGCGACCATGTTTGTATATTTCGAAATCGTTATTAGTACCTGCCTGACTCATAAACCTGTGCCATACCGCAATTCTTTTATCCTCTACTTCTCACTCTTTCCTCCTCCTCCTCCTCCTCCTCCTCCTTTTCTGCCACGATACTTCTTCCCTGCTGCGATCGGCTTTTAACGCGCAAAGTATTTTTGCTTGTATTTTTTTTCTCATGGAACGAGATTGTGCGAAAGACGATTAAACGATTAAAATTCAGCGATGGCATGGTGTAAATGAGAAGGAAAATGTTCTGTCAATCGGAACATGTCAATATTAAGGTCAAATTGCGTCGACAGCAGTCTAAATGAAAATTTAACTAATCTCAGTCTACCCTTTGGGCTGTCCCTTTCTATACGGATTGAAGTTCTATCTATAATTTGAACGCAGAGGGAAAATTTAATCGTGACCGGGATTAGTGCTGACGTCGATGTCGCCGCAATCGAGCTTAACATTGTTGATAAATTGTCACTGAGGTAGAATCAATCAGGCCGAATGAATCAACCGCTGCAGAAAGAGCGTGAATCGATCTTTTATACAAACGAAAAAAACTGGAAAAATTTTCGTCAAATTTGTGCGATTATAATGAAAAAGATTGAAGATTTTTTTGATATAGTAAAACTACTTTATCAAATTTAAAAATATGCAATGGTCATAAATATTCGCGAGAATGACATCTTACCATTTATTTTACAAGAAATATAATTGCAAACGCGAAAGAATAATAGTTTCCTGTTACTTTGAATAATTTCCTTGTTTTAAGATATAAACCTTTTTTGCAACGATTGATTCTTTTTTACAATCATTAAATTATAATGCGAATTATCAATGTTTTTGTTTGCGATAAGATTTATTAACCATCCGAATGAAAAAGATAAAGTAAGGACAACGATATTGTAGACAGAATAGCTGCGAAGATGTTTTTACCTTTCCGAATTTGAACACATACACATTTTACAATTTTAAAAATTATATCAGAAGTAATGGTGGCCAAATCTCTCCACAACCATATTTGTTCCATGTTCTCTCGAAGACGATAGTCTATGCATTTTGATAAATAGCTATAATTCTTTTAAGAGACATAGAAATCGTAAAATCAAATAAACTAAATAAAAAATATAAAAAGAAATGAAAGAAAAGAACAGTTATGTCGTGCTATGATTAAGCTATATTTCTGTAAAGATTCTCCTCGGGAAGCTCTCTTTAATTTGGCCACTACTTCTATACAATATGAACGTTTCTTCGCGTCCTATTTCAAAGCGAAATGAAAATATCAAAGTATACGCGTACCGCGGCAGAGAATAATGTTATTCCTATCTACTCCTATCGAAGCGATCCTGTACGGTGAAAGTCTAACGACGAGTACATTGTATATACTGTAGGTTTATGGGAATGGCTCGCACGATGCACTCATTAACTTACTCATTGTTCTTTACTTCGTCTTCTAGTAATATCATCGGTTGTTTTTTTTAGAGAAAGGATCCGCATATATAAAGCGTTATCTTAATAAGCGAATATCTTAAAAGGAAAAAAAAAAGTCATTTTTTTTTTGCTCCCGCCCCGCTCCCCATGATTCATATTTTTTATTGTAAGATTGTAAGTTGTAGATTATCTATAAAATGCTGTTTATATAGGGAAACAAATTGTTTAGATTTTAAGATTTGCGAAAGGGAGAGTGAAAGAGAGAGAGTGAAAGCGAGAGCGAGAGAAAAAAAAAAGAGAGCAAAAGCTGCACATTACATCCGGTATGTTGTGAGCTTGTGGGAGGGATGTGCGGAGAATATGAAGAAGACTCTATTAGTCCTATCGTGAATGTACTATTAAAAAAAAAAAAGATGTAATGAAGAGTTAAAAAGTATTCTTAAAGATCAGTTGCATTGTATTCATTTCACGTGCAATTAAGACGCGTCCGAGATCGTAAAATAGTGTTGCGTGTCGAATTCACACACAAGATGAAAATGAGCGTCTCTGTAAGGAGATCGAAAGAGAAAAAGGAAAAGGAAAGACCACTTTTTTCCCCCGGAATTTGTGGACTTTCGCGTTTACCATCCATTTTACTGAACTTGATTTTGAATTATTGTTACAAACATAAAAGAAGGCTCTGTAATAAATTTATCTTGTAACTCTTTTCACTGCAATGTCACTTTCACATATTGAACATAAAGAGAAGATCGCAAATATAGTTTCTGAAAAGACCCCATCATCAACCACGAGATTAAAAACTTTCTTTTTAAATATAAAGAACTACTCGAAATTAAGATTATTTCCTTGAGAGAGTCCGGATAAAGGTGTGAGAAACACGCGTAATGATGAAGATTGGCGATGTTTCTCGTGTAAGAGCGTTAAAATACATATAAAAGTGAGTTAAAATACAAATACATCATGTGGTCGTTGATTTGAAAAACATATATATATATATACGTATTGTTAGCCTCGTATTAAATTACTAATACGTTCCGTAGAGAGATATATCTTACAAATATATATATATATATGATCTCAAATAGCCAATAATTATGTTATACTCTCTCTTTTGCAGTTAATAATTTAAACGGACGATCAATTGACTCGCCGTGCCGTGATAAATGATAAATATGGAGATCATTTCATAATACATGCTCTGCTGTGGCATATATAGAATATACAGCCGAGTCTCTCTCTCTGTTGTTCAAACGAGAGATATAGAAAGTCTACAAATAATAAAAAATGATATAATATCGCGTGCATAATCTGCAAAGAATTATACTTCTATGTACATCATATCAAAATTTTAGCCTATAAGAATTCATTAAGCATGGAATTGCGAGCAAAAATTTAACTCTACTGATTCCGCGTTTTCTTCTCAATAAACAAATCTCCTCATTGTTGTAAAATCGAAAGAGTATCGCAGACCAATAATGATATCATGTGAATCCATTTCTTTTCATAGTTCTCAATCGCATTTCAGGATTGTTCATCAAATTGGCAAAATTCCCATGTAAACAGTAAAATAAGGAAATTACATATTCACCGAAGATAAAATCATATATTGAATTAAATATATAGCGATTCAAAATTTGATTTACGCGAGCAGGTAAAAATACCTGTACATATACTGAAAAATACATCAACTTTTTTCACTGTTTAACTTTCGAGAATATCGCAATTTCTCAATTTGATAATTGTTGCGTGTCTAAAATTATAAACAGGAATTTCGATATTCGTATAATCCAGTTATCGCTCGCAGATATTCTTTATCGTGTCTCACGCGAGATTATTGGATCAATTTGTTACTTTTCGCTCGATATCGACGAAGAGAAAGAGAGGATTTATTTCGATATTTAAGGACTTGAGGAATATCAAATTTTGCTTGCAAATACAAGCAGATTATATCAAATATGGAGCATAAACGCAGCATAATGCTATATTATGAATAATACGCGAAACATTCGATGATAGACGTATTTAATGAAAACAGAACGATATTTCTTGTGAGAAACAGATGTGAGATTCTTCCTTTAAATATTTCTAGGCACGATAAATTTTAAAATTCATCTAAAAATTAATTGAAAATTTTATTCATATTACATATCCTTTCTTGCTAACTATTCAGATATTATTATATTATTATATATTGCTTTATAATGTAATCTCATTAGTTTTATTAAGGAATGACCGTTTGAGTCTTCAACAAGAAATAGCTCTCATTATAAATATCTAATTGTCGAATGTTGTGCATATTTAAATATTTCGCTACTCGTTGGCTATAATAAGGACGCATAAGCCACGTCATATTCGTGATATATCAACGAGCAGAAAATTGCAGCTTATACGCGGTTCATGTAATATCGTAACGATTATACCGTTATATAACGAAAGCCGTTTACTAATCCACATTTATATATATACATATAGGAAGGAACTCTACGATAAAAAAAATCTCACACAATTACTATTTTGAATACTACCTTTCGCCTATAAAAAAACGGATCCGCTTTATTTTTTTCTTCTTACTGGTAGTTTGTATACCTTATGATTAAGGAACGCGAGGTACAAAGGTAACAGAGTGACCGTTTGATTTGAAAGAGAGAAAGAAAAAGAAAAAAAAAAGAAATAATAAGAAATTTATATACTGCGATACGCGCCGCGTCAGGAATGTAATCGACATTCTTTGTGTAATTGTAATGTAAACGTAAACACCAGCCAGAATTCACGCAATATGTCCCTACTCAATGTTCACATACGAAGATTGAAAGAAATGTATAAAGCTATGTAGTATTATAAAAAAAAAACGAGTATGTATGATTTATATTCCTGTACTACTTTTCATGGACATCGAAATATTCACCTGACATAGTCATGCCTTCTTTTTTTATTCTTGCAAGATGATCTCACAAGATTGAGAAATAAAATAGGTTCAACATGTGTGACATTTAGATATTTTTTGCAGACAGTAATTATTTATGATAATGTGCGACACGGAATATATCAAATAAAAATCTTACACGCAATCAACGAAAATATGGGACAAGATAAAAACTTAATATTCTATAACTATGAAAAAAATATCTGAAAAATGTAATTTCTTATCGAATATTTTTAATGAAAAGCAGCGTTGTATAGTTTTATATTATCAAAATTGTGATATTTATTAATTTTTATCAGAAAATACGATATTTTTTCTTTTACAAGTTTAGTTATTGTATTAATGTGTCTATATTTATCGAATTCTGTCATTGTCAAAAAGTAATTGATAATTAAAAGATGTAGATAAATGAAGCTAATTATTCAGTATAGAATCATTAGCTTTTTTCATAAAGCATTTGATACTTGTAAATGGAGATATAAAAATTGCACAATTCCCCAGATTAAATTTTAATTAGAAATAAATTGATACAAGTATACTATTTTCAGCAAAAAGAAGCAGCTATGAAGCTGCAACTATCCAATTTCTTACAAAAGAAGGTATGTAAAAACCTATTCAGATGATTACCTTCTATAATAACAAATTAATCTAGAAAATTGCTTCATATATTGTCATTTATTTCAAGAAGTTATATCGAAGATATTTAGATTTAAAATATACATATATAGTTTTTCTCTTTATCACATGAAATTAGATTTTTTTCTTATAAATTTGATCTATTTTTCCTCAATGAAAATCGTTTAATGTTTTGAATAATTATCAATTTAATTAAGCTTCAAAAAAATAAAATATTTTTTATTTCAAGTACGTATTATTTTATTAATCAATATTTTCAAATTAATATCATTAAAGATTTGTTATTATAGAAAAATTGTATAAATGATGATCTATCTTGGGATGACAAATAGCACAAATTTTTATTTTTATGTATTTATTAACAATCTAGCTGTACCTCCAATGGATCCATAAATATGTGTCATTGTAGGGTCATAAATAATAACTTTGATACCATTAATTTTCAAGCTAAGATGACATTTGAAACTTCGATCTAATCTCCTTAAGAACTTTTCTTGGCATAATAGTTCTTAAAATTAGGCACAAAATACATGGGTGATATTAGTACTGATCCAGCGAGACACAAGAATGAAACTAGCTTTTCCTGCAACATAAATCATCATCGTTAATATAGAATTTGTTTGAAAATTCATCTAATTCAATATATGTGACAATGATCTTTACATGTATATAAATAAAAAATTTTATATTACAAGATATATAAGCTATTATGTAAAATTTTATATTGCTTGCGCATATTGTACATTTTTCTATAAGGATTGGTCGCAGAAATGTTCTTGTATTAACACATAAAAATATCATCCTTTTACAAAGCAGATTAACAGCGCATCTCCCTTCCTCTTATGTAATTTCATCTACGAGAGAAACTATACTCACAGCGTTAGAAATTTTCACCCTTGGCGGCGTGCTAAGAATTAAACTGTGATACGACCTGGCAACAACGCCCGACAAGCGGGACGTGTTTGTTAAGCTGCTGCGAATCGCGAACATCTTTACTTTCGTTGCTCGCTAAACTTTCCGGGCTATATCACAAGAATGGTCGAAACATCTAGGAATATGGATTCTCAAGATATGTCATTGATATGTCGTTGAAGTTTCAAGCGAGTTTGCAACGTTACGTTTAAAAATCTACGGGTGGCACCCGATTGACCACGTCGTCAATTGGCCAATTCAAAATAGGACTCTCTGATTGGTTAATCGTTGCTGGTTACCCTAGGCACAGGTCGATATAATTGGCTGTGGTCAATCGCAACGTGGTCAAACGGGACGCTCCCAAATCTACTCGTTAAAGTAGCGTTTGATTGGACAGAGGAAGAAAAGATTCCTTTATTCTGATTGGTCGACTCAATGCTACTCCGACGAGTAGATTTCCGAACGCAACCTTGAAACGAATATTCGAATTGACGTAGTTTGACAATTCAACTTGTCCAAACATGTGGTGTGCATGTTTTTAAAAAGCAATACTCAATACTCAGTTTTATTATAAATTCATTATATATTTATCACTGTGAAAAAAAAGAAATGAAAATTAATATAATTTAATTATAAAACTTAATTTAAGTATCATTGAAGAATCGGAGATTAATTACAATTACGTGAAAAATACGTGTGAGAACCTGATTAAATCAACTGTATATTGATATTTAAGAAAGCTTGGAACTTAATATTTAGATCAATAAAAAATCTGTCAAAAAAAAATAAAAATTATCAAGAGAATTTAATAATTATTATAACAGAAACTTGTGTCATAAGATATAGCTTATATCATATCTTATTTAAATTGAAAAATGGATGCTGTTAGTCCTACTCCTCAAGATCTACAGAGGAAACTTTATTTCTTGGTGGAACAGTTGCAGCACATGGCTGGAGAGCTTCCACCAAAGTATCAGATGCGTCTGCCATACGAATTGCTATCTGGTTTGGCAAACTCTTTGTTAAACGACACCATTTTTGAGATAGTGAAGGGACTGATGGAAATACAACATGTCACTGAGAAGCATCTCTTCCAACAACGGCTTCAGCTTCTGAATCAACAGAAAATCGAGTCTCAAGAGACATTGTTGTCCGCACCAACAACAGAAGAAGAGTTAATGGCGATAAAAGCAGCTCTGCACAAGAAACACAAGGAAGAGTTGAAGCAATTGGATATGAAATTAGTGTTGCAATTAGATCAAAAGGTGGTGGACCAGCAGAGCATATTGGAAAAGGCTGGAGTACCTGGATTCTATGTGACTAATAATCCAATGGAGATTCAAGTGCAAATGAGATTGTGCGACTTTATAATTAGACTCAGCAAGATGGATATACCCACTTAATATGAATATAAAATCACTTTTCTTTTTATATAACATCTGCTTATTTATCATTTATCCCATGGTAAGCACTTATCATTATTTTTTTTATCATTACTTATACTGATCATTATTTGATATTAAATTCTAAAAGATTTATTTTATAATACATAAAAAAAAAACTTAAATAAAAACTTTATGGTATTTTGTTTAAATCAATCTTTTCTGTATGCAGTGTTCTATATATTTTGTTATAAGTTAATAAGTATTAATATATTAATATATTAATATATTAAAATTTATAGCCATCAACTTAATATAATGAATCACTTATGATACAATACTTTTTTTTAGAATAAAAGATTATTCCTAATAATTATAGATATTATATATATATAATAAGGAAAAATAAATTTTTAATGAAAACACAAGTTGTATGCTGAAAAGATATAATATTCTTATATTTTCTTTATTCATATGTGTATTAAATTATTATAATAAATAATATTAAAAATAAGTTTATAAGATTTTTACAAAAGTAATGTAATAAAAAAAATTTTTCAGATATATTAAATTTTTTTAAATTATTATTAATATTAATTTATATTATATAATTAATTATATACACATATATTAAAGAAATATAAGTAATTATATCTCTAAAATAATTGCTTCTTATTCAAAGAATAGCATTTGTGTTATTTACAAATAGAAAACACTTTGAAAATGTATCTAATCATATCCATACTCCTATAAAAGAATTATTAATAATAAAATATTTTTTTACATTTTTATGAAATATATTCAATTAATTCAAAAGATTATACTTTTCATGTAGGTGATCTATTCCTTTCTTTTCTTTAGATAATATATGAATTATTTTTTCTGCAATGTATTATATAAAAAATAAAATATAAAGTCGAAATTTTGTCAGCAGTATATTCTGGAATATGCTATTTAGATTTAATTGAATATTGATTGTGTGGATGAAATGTGAGTACTAATTGGTTTTGCAGATTGAAAAGAGTTGGTTTCATCCGTTTGTGCAAAACATATACGATAAACATCGTTGAACGTTGAAGCAAAATGCACTTCTAAACCATCTGTGATATACTTAGGCAAATCATTGAAATCTTTCTTGTTCTCTTCAGGTAAAATTATACATTTGACATTGACGCGTTTTGCCTAAATAAAAGTGTATTTTATTAGTTTTGTACCCTAAATTATAGTATGATATATATAGTATGATAGTAAAATGATACACATATAGAATCAAGAAAATTATATAATGATGTACTAAATTAATATCTTTATAAAATAATGGTTTGAAATTAAATCGAATAAGAATAATTAAATCGAATAAGAATTGGTTGAAATAAATGGAAAGTTATATTTTTACTTACTGCAATAGTTTTTTCCTTGATGCCACCAACAGGAAGTACCTTGCCCATGAGACTCACTTCACCCGTCATGGCCACGTCCTGCCTGATAGCTTGATTTTTAGCGAGAGAAAGCAATGCCGTAGCGATCGTTACACCCGCACTAGGTCCATCCTTAGGAGTAGCACCCTCAGGTACATGTATATGTAAATGGGAATCGTAGAGAAACGTATTAGAAGGCTCCTCATGTTTCAGATGATTCCTCGCCACAGTCATCGCGATATGTATAGATTCTTTCATTACATCACCGAGATGACCGGTGACCTCGAAAGTACCCTCAGACTTTTTACCGCCTGTCGGTTTTCTGACAGTAGTCTCAATGAACAGAGTGGATCCGCCCATGGCAGTCCACGCTAATCCCATTACAACTCCAGGAGGCGTGACTTCATACATCCTGTCGTGCGTGAATACAGGTTTTCCGACAAATTCTTGCAGATTGTTCGCAGAGACGTCAATTTTATTGGCCTCTTTTCTGACGACCTTAAACGCCACTTTCCTGTGTACTTTTTCTATGTGTTTCTGCAGGTTTCTTACTCCCGATTCTCGACAATAAGATTTAATTAGCGTTGTAAGTGCATTGTCCTGTATATTGATTTGATCATTCGTGAGACCACATTCGGTTCTAGCCTGTGGAACTAAGTACTGTTTCGCGATGGCGAGTTTCTCTTCGGCAACGTAACCCGACATATCTATCATCTCCATACGATCTCTCAGAGGTTCCGGAATGGTATCTATTACGTTTGCCGTGCAGATGAATAGGACTTTTGATAAATCTACTGGAACGTCTAAATAATGGTCCAAGAAATTCGCATTTTGCTCAGGATCGAGCATCTCGAGAAGCGCAGATGCTGGATCTCCTTGATGTCCCCTAAGAAATATCGTGATGATAAAAATTTTAAAAATATACAAAGATACCACAAAATGTTTTTACTTTCTAAACATTTTTTCACATTTTGTTATATATTAAATATATTTTATATATGTGTATATAAATCTAGATTACATATAAATTACATACTTGCCAATCTTGTCGACTTCATCTATTAAAATTAATGGATTTTCAGTCTTAGTCTTTTTCAAGCACTGAATGACTTTGCCTGGCATTGCTCCTACATATGTTCTCCTGTGACCTTTGATCTCCGCTACATCTGTCATTCCGCCGACGCTAAATCTAAAGTACTCTCTGTTCAAAGCGCGAGAGATCGATTTAGCAATAGAGGTTTTGCCTACTCCAGGAGGCCCATAGAAACATAATATCTTTCCTTGTGTACTGCCTTTTAGTTGACTAACAGCAATAAATTCTGCAATGAAAGCATGGTATTTGTAGTGTGTAAGATTGTTAAAATCTATTTTTATATTAGTATTTTTATACCAAGAATTCTTTTTTTTATATCTTCCATTCCATAATGGTCTTCATCCAAAATTTTGATGGCATCCTGAAGATTTAAATTTTCTGTACTTGTTACACCCCATGGCATGGATGTAAGCCAGTCTAGATAATTTCTCGTAACGCTAAAAGATATAAAAATTATATATATATATATATATATATATATATATATATATATATATATATATATGTGTGTATGTATATTACACTATTTTATTCTATAATAAAAATACTGATTTTTAATACATACTTGAATTCACTACTATGACTTTCTAAGAAAGATAATTTATTCAATTCTTCTTCCAATACGTCCATCACTGGTTTAGGAACTGTCTTTTGTCTTATTCTTTCCCTGTACTTCTCTTCTATTGCATCTTTGTCATCCTTTTCGAGCCCCAATTCTTTCTTGATAACTTTTAATTGTTCATGAAGAATATATTTTCTGTGTTGCTGTTTTACTTTCTCCTCGACCTCTCTGCCGATTTTTTGCTGTAGCTTACTTAATTCATATTCTTTTTTCAGAAGTGCAAGAGATAGTCTCAATCTTTTTAAAATCTATGAATAAAAATATTTCAATACATTCCATCAAAGTCTCACACACCATATAATAATAGCAGCAATGCTTACATCCATTTCTTCCAAGACTTGCTGCAATTCTTGTGCATCTGCTCCTGTTAAGGCAGCACCCAAATCACTGAGGTAAACTGGATTGTCCACAACTTTTTGCCCTTGATGCAGCATTTGTTGTAATGCTTCACGATACAAAGGATTCATACTAATTATATCGCGAATTGTCTTAATGAGTTCTTGTGTCAAAGCCTATTTAAAAAATATTTTTATTTCTGACATGTGTATACGGATGTAATATCATCAAATAAAGTACACTTAATATCGCGCGACTGATTTCAAAATAATGCAACTAAACTTAGATTTATTGGTGCATAAACAATGGTGGATAAACAAAAGATAAACAAAAAAAATTTATTGGTGCAAGGATAAACAAAAGATAAACAAAAGATAAACAAAAGATAAACAAAAAAAAACAAAAAAATTCGAGAATTATTACTTTCAATGTTTTCAATATTTATGTTACCTTAATTTCTTCAGTTTGTTTAAATTTTTCATGTGTGACATTCACAACTTCCACCATTAATATAGGTTGACTACCAGATTGAGGTGCTGACGAATTTGATGGTTTTTCTGTTTTTTCAGAGGAAGAATCTACCGGCGGTTTTACTTCTGTAGAGTCCACTTCATCGAGTTTTTCTATCTTCTCTAAAACTTTATTCTCTGCCTTCTTGCGCAACGATCTCCGACTTATCTTGCTGCTATTTACTGTGTCGTCTACAGGGACGGTAATTGTAGTATTTAATAGTGGGAACGTCAGTTTCATCTCTGTATAAAGTAGGTATGGCAATATTTTAACAGATTATCAAAAGGCAAAGTATGACCATACCACCAGTCACAAAGAGACTCGTTTTTATCAATATATTAATAATAGACATAAATTTCTATAAAATATGACCTTTTCCACTGTAACTATAAAAAAAGTACATTATTTAAATAATTCTCTTACTATGTTCTGACTTTGGATTTGGATCATCAAAAATCTGATTAACAATCTTGATTCTTCTATGTGCCATAATCACTAATCTTAATCGATTTCCTAAATCTTGGATTTCATGTACTTGTGCAAATGTTCCAATTGGATAAATGTCATCTAAGTTTTGAACAATTTCAGCTTCATTTCTGTATATACAAATATAAAATTAAAAAGATACATTACTAATTCTTTTATGGCATTTATGTATTATTATTGCTTTATTATGTTATTCCACTTTAAACTCATAAAATAAATCAAAAATACATTTGAAAGAACTTACTCTTCATTCTTCTTTAAGAAAACTCCTACATAAGGTTGATTGAGCTTTATTTTTCTCCGTATTAAATCTATCAAAATTGGATTACTAATCTCGATTAGCTTGATAAACCTAGGAAACACTGGGTTTCTGTTGATAGCGATGACTGGTACATAAGGCCATACTTCAGGTACCACCACAGTTGCAGGCAAAGAAGCAGCATAATCTCCTGGTTGTTCTCCATTACCATCGCTGAACAACATATATAAAATAAAGTTTAATAAAACTAATATACAAATGTAACTATTTTAGCATATTGTGTTACACAATATATACTTACAATGATATAGAAATATAATGAAAATTTCAATATATAATATATAATATTAAAAAGGAAAAAATTAATAAAAGATAAGGAAATAATCGTTACTGAATCAAAGAAATTAAAAAAAGGGAAATCGATTTAAAATAAAATTACTCAGATTAAGGAAGATTAAGTACAGTGGAAAAATAGGATAGGAAGGAAATTATTAAAAATGAACAAAATTATTTTACCTCGGAGGAACTCGATCAGAGTACCTTTTCGTGGCGAAAAATCTCACAGACACCACGGCAGGATGAATCCGCGAGTGTCCGCGTGTATTCCTCAATAATCTTCCACCTAAATATTCCGTTCGTACTAATTGCGGCCTGACACAGGCCGGCAAAGGTAGGCGGTGATCCGAGGAGGAGCGGTTTTTGCAAAAAGTGCGCGCAATCGTGTTGTTCTGTCGTAGAATCGGCAGCAATTTTACATTCACCGCTGTCACGAGTCGCATGATTCTCCGCAGATTCTCATAAATCCTATTCGATTTTGTTTGACGTTAAAATAAAAAAGTAAATAGAGGTTATAACGTAATCTTACGAAATCATACACACGATTTCGTATGATTCGTGACCTAACATGAGCTGAGAATGCTAAAACATACTGAAATATTTGTTCTTTTTAGCTGCACTTTTGGTTACATTTGGCTACACTTGTGAGATCATGTTCCTCGATGATTATTTCACGTGCTTTACTTAATTTTCCTCAGTTTCTCTTTTTTTAAAATTAAAGTTATCTTAATGTAATACGCTGATATTGAAATAACTCTGCCTTAAGCATAAGTTTTTCCTATTGTCTTGGAATAAATAAATGTTATTCCCAGTTCCAACTCTACAGTTTTTACAGTAATTATATTTGAAATTTTTTAAATTGAATAATTTTATATGCAATATAAAATAAATATTTAGAGTATAAAATAATATAAATATTGTATAAATATAGTATAATATAGTATAAATATTTATAGTATAAAACATATATGTACATCATATAAAAACTTTAAATTTAACGATTGATAAAATAATTTTTTTTCTATATAAAAATACACAAAAATATTAATTTTATATGTTGCATAATATTGTATGTTAATTTTAATATAAAAGAAGAATTAAGCTTCTAAATGCAAAAGAAGATTAAGCTTCTAAATACAAAAGAAGTGTATGCAAAAACAAGAAGTTATTAATTAATTTCTAAGTATAATTAGTTCAATAATGGATAAAAGAATCTACAACAAAGCACTAAATAAAAAACTATTGATTCCAAAACTCCTAACAAATAATGACCATTCACAATATGAAACGCTTCAATCTACAACAAAAAGTAATGAAGATAATATTATTGATTATAGAAATATTTCTCTTACTTTAACAGGTATGCATTAGATTATCACAACATCATTTTTTATATGCATTGATTATATTAATATTTTTTAATATTTGAATGTTATATGCAGGAGAACTAAGTTCATCCTGTATACATAGAGATAATTTAACACAGAAGCAGCCTAATGTTATGCTTGTGGAGGATGCAGAAGATGATGATGAACAGTTCATTTCAAATATGAAAAAAATTATTGACAAGAATTATAAAATGTAAAACTAATTAATATATATAAGTATTATTATACTTTGTATTTTATTCAAATATATATTAATATCTTGTTACAAATAGGCAAAACAAAGAAAATCATAGTGTAAGAAATTTGCAAAGCAAATCATATTTATCAAAGAAAAAGAAATGTGTATTTAGTGATGAAGATCAGAATTTAATAAAGCGGTTTAAAGAGTCTGTGAATGAGAGCAAAGATTTACATACAACTTCACAAAAGTCTGAACTTCTACAACAGCCTGAAAATGTTGCTTCCATTAGCAATTCTAAATGTTCGATAATAACTAGCACTCCAGAAACTGCTTCAGTTATTACATTGAGTAATATTAATACAGATTTCAATAGGTATGGTTTAAATATATTGCACAAATATATATGTTAATGAATAACTGCAGTAAATTATGTTTGCGATTATAGTTGATCATTATTTTCAGAAATGATACAAATCAATCGCTTCTCCACATAATTTCACAGAAAAATGCTCAATTGATTCCCAGAAATACAGAGATTGTTACACAAACTGAAATTATTGAAACAGAAATCAAACAATTCCTTGATTGTGACATGTTCTACTTCTTGACACCACCCCAAACAGATAAATAACTTATTATCATAGTTTATAACGTTTATTGATAATTTATTATAACAAAATTTTAAAATTACATTAAAATTAATTTTGTTAAATAATTTTAACATTTATTATGTACATAAGTTATATGTTGTTTGATATATCAAAGTTCTGATTTTATCTGATAAAAATAAGATATTGTAAAAGAAATTATGTTTACAGAATTAAATATCTGGTTATAATTCTCTGTTTAATTATAATTTAGTATGTATACTGTATTAATATAATTTAATTAAAATTTTGTGATGTAATTTTTAATATACGGTTAAATATACATATTCAAATATCCCGCTATATCTTCTGCTAAATGTGGGCCAGAGGGCATACGCGTGCGCATAGTTTTAATATAACGTTTCCGTTCTTTGTCACGTGACTGATTTTAATTCATGCCATCTCAAGGACAAGCGGCGCTAAAACTGGCCCTCGCTTTTCCAAAATACAGATAAAAATTATGTATTCTAAGAAACAATGAGTGAATTTAAATTACATCATTTGATCGTGCAACTGATTGATTTATTAGGGTAAGTGATAAAAGATGAATGTTTTATAATTTGTAAAATCAATTTGTAACATTACTCATAGATTTAGAAATAGATTTAAATGTACATATTTTTGCATAGAGAATAATGGTGTACAAATATTTTTACGTGTAAATATTATTCTTTCTAGCTCGGAGTCTGCTCCTGAGGAACATTTAGAAAAGCTACAGAAAGAATGCATAACAGCAAATGCATTAAACACTGTTGCTCCTCACAGTTGCATTCAGCATCTAACAAAAATTTCACTCCAACCAGAGTTATTTGTACAAAAATATGACGAGCTAAAGTCCAAAAAGTTAGTGGATAATATAAAATCAAGTTGTCACATAGATTTTTTCATTTAGGTGCAGAAAGATAATGAAAGATATATCTTTTCAGAGTAGATCTGTTAGGCCTGTTTGTACAGACTTTGGAGTTAATATCTCAAGATGAAGAATTGAAAAGATATCTATCAAAATCTGCACCAAGATCAACAGCTTCCTTAAAAGATCCAACCATTACACAAGAAGATTTGCCAAAGGTAATGATATATTAATGCTATATTTTTAATATATGTGTGAGATGATTAAAATTATATTTTAATAGATTTTAATTAAATATGCTAAAGTTTGTTATATTTTTCTCTACATAATATATGCTATATAGTAAATATAATTTAAATATTTGATAGATTTGCAAAACTGTAATCAAAGCTGCTGTGGAAGGAGGAAAGAAATTAAACCAGCAAGTATGTACAGTCAATTGGAAAAATGACAGTGTTGTAGCAAAATATAATTGGGTGGCAGAACGTCCACGTATCACATGGGATTTTCATAGTGATGCTGCTGTAACACTTTATCAAAGTATGTAAATTATTTTCTTTTACAAAATACAAAAGGTTATAAGAGATAATAAATATATATGTCTGAAATAAATAATTACAGAGGTTGTACCAATTATATCTCAGGAGTCTATACTTCTATGGGATATTTTATATTGCTTGAAAGGAATAGATGGATCATACATAATTTCAGAACCTTTAACAAGTCCTTATGGTGTCAAAACTTTTAGTATATCACCCGATGTTGGTAAGGAGTACATTAAAAATGTTAATCTCAAGCTTTAATTAGAGAAAATTAAATATATAATAAAAAAAATTTATATTTTATTTTCAGGTATATCGTTTAAGCAGTTAGCACAACAGATATTACCTTTAGCATCCTATTACTCCATGACAGTGAGATTTGTTGAAGAGAAAGTCTCACCAGATGACGGACAAGTCAATCATGCTTTGAGAGGAGCTATTCGATCTTTGTTAAAAGATTATTTGGTAACCAAATTAGATTACTTTTACAGATGAAATAAATATATGTCTAATATAATACATTTATATTTCTTTAATTTAATATATATTTCGTACTTTATTTTAGCTTTTTGTTGTGCAACTTGAGACAGAACACATTCATGGTAAATTAAGCTTGCAAAAACTATGGTTTTACATTCAACCTACTATGCTTACGATGTCTATACTTTCTCAGATTACATCAACAATATGTAAGGTTAGTAATAATATTAGAATATTAATTAAATAATTTTGATTATACTTGATTCTTTAAATATATGCATGAAGAATATATATTATTTTTTTTATAGTTGGAATATTAAAGATTATGACATATAATGTTGATTCTAGGCAAATGCCAGAGGAGGAAAAGTATTGAGCCTTCTTCATGAACAAACATTAAACAGTATCAGTGGTGAAGCAAAGTCTAAAGAACTATGTTTATACTTGATGCAAGCAGCGAGCATGCCATATATGCAAATATTAGAAAAGTGGGTTTACAAAGGAGTGATATGTGATCCATATCAAGAAGTTAGTATTATAAATTTATTCTTATGTCATATTATGTATTGTAAGTTGAAAATTTATAATATTGTCTTTTTCAGTTTTTTGTAGAGGATAATGACTTGGTTCATAAGGAAGAGCTTCCCGTGGATTATTCTGCGGATTACTGGGAGAAAAGATATACCATGCGACCAGAAAGGATACCTGTATTTCTAAGTGAACATGCACAAACCATACTTAGAACTGGAAAATATTTTAATGTGATCAGGCAATGTGGTATGTTTCTTAATAATGTTTCTTATTTAAATATATTTATTTTATGTTAAATAAAATAATAAAGCTTTATATAATAAGAATTAATTATTTTTAAGCAATTATCCTATAAACTAATAAAAAGATGTATTTATACAGGTAAAACAGTACAATGGGGAAAACAAGAACCCTTAAGCTATCAATATCAAGGGCAGAAATATATAGCTGCCATTGATAGGGCATATTCAGAAGCTGCCAGGAAATTATTAGAAGTACTCATGAAAGAGAACGATTTAATGGGTAGGCTACGCAGTGTGAAAAGTTACTTTCTTCTTGCTCAAGGAGATTTTGTGGTGAGTTTAGCTTTTAAATATCAAATGAATATAAATTTGAATTTATTTGAATAGCTTTTATTATTTCTATATATTTTTATATGTACAAAAATATTTATGAAATTTTATATTATAGGTTCAATTTATGAACTTGTGTGAAACTGAATTAAACAAAAGTATGTATGATATCGTTCTGCATCGTTTAGCATCTCTTCTCGAGGTTGCTTTGCGAATGTCAACTGCAGATTCAGATCCTTATAAAGACGATTTGAAACCGGAATTACTTCCATATGATCTACAGTATCAAATGTTTAGAATACTCTCCATTCAAACCAGAGATGAGAAAGGTAATTTATTAAAAATCTTGGTCATTTAATTATAAAATTAAAAATGGGCTGAAAATGAGTAACACTGAATTAATTTTTTTGTAGAATATTGTTTTCAAGCAGGTAAAATTTTGACTGGTTTGGAAGCGTTCGTTTTCAATTATGATGTTAAATGGCCAGTTTCCCTGATTATTAATAGGAAGGCCATAGCTTGTTATCAAATGTTGTTTAGACATCTATTTTATTGTAAATATGTTGAAAGACTATTGTGCAGGTAACTTTTACTTTAATTATAGTATGTGGATTTTATATTTGTGTAGCAAAATTTAACAATTTATTATCTTATAGAGTATGGATTAGCAATAAAATAGCAAAGACTTTCACGCACGAGGTGGCCATAGCTTACAGACAGGCATTTTCATTACGGCAAAGAATGCTTGATTGTATTCAGCACTTAGAGTATTACATGATGGTGGAAGTCGTAGAACCAAACTGGTTGAAATTTATAAATAAGATGAACAAGGTATTGATTTTTACTTTATTATTATCTAAAAAATATATGTATATATATTAATATTGTTAAATGTCTTTATATAATTTGTTAAATAATTAAAACTAGGTCAGTAATGTCGACGACGTATTGAATGTACATCAGGATTTACAAGACAGTTATCTGAAGGAATGTATGTTAACGGATCCCGATCTTCTCGGTTGCATCACCGGTATTTGTGCAATCTGCGTAGAATTCTGCAATTTTATGCAGGTAAGTCTACTATCGCGAATTTGTGCGTTCCTCTCTAACAATTCGCATGTACAAATTTACATTTAATGATCTCTTCCTCTAAGTTGCAATCATTATTTCAGTTAAATCTGTTATAGCATTTTATTTTGTATTACATATAATATATTTATATTCCATACACTAATAAAGATAGGTCTCATGTTCTTTCCCTCGTGTCGAAATATATGTTATAGTGATTAATATATATTTTTTCAATCAGAAATTTTTTACTAAATCTTTAAATCATGATACTTGTTTTACAAAATTACCCTTAAAAATCAAATTAACATTCAGTGAGATGAAATGACGATAGAAAACGTAACGGGAAAGAAAATAATGATATATAAAAGAGACTTTGATCTATTAAATTATATTTTGCTAATGTTAAGCGTATGAGCCGCTACTACATTGATGCTGAATTGACATCCATGATTGGTGCCTGTCAGGAAGATGCCTATGAATATGAGGTATACTTTCAAAGCTTTAAGCTCGTTCTCATGCATCTCTGTAGCCCTAGAATCATGAAGCATTTCTTTGCAAATAAGGCATCTTTTAGAGATCATTATATATTTATTATATTGTTAAGAACATGCGACTGTCGTACATTTCCCTTAATTTGCATGAAATATGATTAATATTCTAATATGAATACATATCTCCGAAATATATAGAGATGTTTTGATGAATAATGTCTAGCGAGCATTCTTTTTACTTTGCATTATTTTGCGTGTAAAATGAAATGAAAAATACATATACAAAAAATTAAAACATTTTTATACATTTCTATATAAAGCTAAAGTATATTAAATGTTATGTAACAACATCATATTTTTAAAATCCTCACTAGTCAAGAAAAGATAAATTATAAAAGAAAATCTTTGCTAATAAATTATATATGCATCCTGGAAAGATATTTGAAGAAGATGAAGTAAGTATAAAAAGAGAATATGTAGAGCAGTGTTATTATATATATGCTATGCATTATATATTTACATATATTTACTATTTTGACTTAATAAACTGAATTGGTATCTTAAAGACTGTGTTAAGAAGTGTTTTTGTAGACTCTTGTAGATATAAAAAGAGAATTGATATTTAATGAACCTACATATAAATATATTTATTATTTTTTTCTAGTAAGAATATAATTTGGCAAAATAAATTAATAATAATTCTGTTCTTTCTCAATTTTATGGATATGATAATTTCTTTATACTTTGGATCTTTTTTAGAGTATTTAGAAATGTAGAGGGAATAGAAAAAGTGTACACATATATATATATATATATATATATATATATATATATATATATATAAATTATGTAGAAATCTCAAATTTTATTTATGTGTATTTTTACTTATGATTTTGACATATACAATTTTTGAAATTTAGTAAGTAGTTAAAGTTTGTTCCCTAATAATTTATATTTTATATTTATTTTTTTATAAGGAAAAATTGGTAAAAATATAATTATATTTTTATAATATTTTTCATAAAAAGCACGACCAGTTGATAGTCTTTATTAGCATATTATTACTTATCATATTATCATTAATTATAAGTAAAAATATATGTCATATATTTTTGTTATATTTCAGAAATTGCTTCTTAATTTTGTTTATGCAATATGTACATGTTCATATTTATAGTGTACTAATGAATTACATTCTTTGTACCAGATCGAGAATGTTTCTACTGCGAAAGATGGAACAGGGAGTTTTGAGGAAACAATTGCATCACTAGATGAAAGATTCACTAAAGTATTGACATGCCTTTTAGACCGAATCTGCGATTTGGGTTGTGAAAACAACAATGAAAAACTACATAATGTGTTATGTCGGTAAGTCTTCTATTATAAGTTTTAATTAAAAATCATTCCTTTAGAATAAATCAGGAAGAATTTTATTTATTTTTAGCAAGGATACAAATTTTTATAGCACATTGCACGTACTATAAAAACTGAAATCATTTTTATATAAGACATTGCTTAAAATTCAAATAGTAAAGATTCTTTTAATTCAACTAATATAACTTAATAAAAATTTCTGCCGTGTCTAATATAAATTAATAAGAATTTCGTCACGTGAAACGAGAAAATTCTGTTTTAAAAAATTTGAAATTATAATTAATATAATTTAAAAACGATTTGAATATAATTTATGTGAACGAGAAGAAATCTAATTTAGAGAAAAATATTGATTCAAAATATAAAAAGATCTAATATTGAGATTCCTAGAATAGAAAAAAAATCGACAATATTGTATGTAGGTAATTAACTTGTCATATTGGCCTTTTATCACTTTTCATTATTTTTGACATGTTTTTGACACATCCAGATATTATATTTATACATAAATATTTTTTATTAAAGCATTCTTATTTCATAAAATATTTTTACTAAACATATGTAATTTTTATATATCTTCATCTTTTAATAAGGATGTTTATATTAGGCTTGACTTCAACATGTTTTATACCGACATCCTGGTACGTCGGAGAAGAGAGAAAACTGTCGCACAGCAGGATGTATCCGGTTAATAAACATAATTTCGTCCACGATTTATTCGAAAACACGTAAAGATCTACGACAATAATTTAATATTAAATTTTGAAAAAAATTTTGTTTATTTTCCAACGTGCTTATTTACACATATATATGCGCCCACACGTGCACAGAATGGATGATATAAATTTTCACAGAAAGCTACAATGTATCTTTTTATCAGAGTTATATTTAAAAATGATAAAATGATAATCATCTTATAAATATTGCTAAAAATTTGTTTACAAGAATATAAATTGTAAAAAAATATTCATCTCTTGGAACAATTCTAATTTATTGATAAACGTTTGTTATAAAACATGCAACAATATATTTATATATTTGCGCATTGTGTAATATTTAGCGTATAAGCGCTCGATTACGATTATATTAATGGCACATTTACACGCAACTTAGGGTAAGTCAATGTCTATTAAAATTTAATAATAAAATTTAACATATATTTAACAGTGTATTTAACGTTGGTATATAAAATAAAATAAACCACTCAGAGCGAGTGTTATTTTATAAATTAAGTTTTCTTTTTTCTTTTTTAGAGGATACAAAACTTAAAGAAGAATAGATTCATACACATTCGCTTATTGTAACTATCCCTGAGATTTTACCGTATTATCGACATTATTATTCTCAACGGCGAGCTTGACGGTATTTAAAACGAGTTCCATCCCTGTCAGTTTCTCCTGCAATTTATTCAACGCGAATATTATCTTCTCATTGTCCGATAATTGATTTTTCTTGTAGATAATTTGTTTAGTCTGTTTGATTATATTAGGATCCATCTTCAAAGAGACCCAATGTTTGTCGCGATTCACGGATTCGCTGCGAACATATTTCTCACAATACGTATCGTTGTTGCATACGTCTAGGTAGTCGTCTGGCTTGATCCTGATTGTACCGTTTCTCAGATAATGTGGAAACAAAAGAATTCTTCTGGCAAAAGAATCGAATGGATTCCATGGCGAGCATAAATTTTCGCAGCACAAAGAACGCCTGCATGATTTACCGATTGCCACATCCTCGATGTACGAAATCAAATGAATCCGTGAAATGAGTCCGACCAGTTCAGCCTTGCACAGGATCTCGGCAGTATCACTGACCGCCAAACCATTGAGCAGATTGAACAACACGATGGCGATGAGGAAGACGAACAATACAAAAACAATGTGACTCCAAACAGGATGCGAGACGAATGGGATATCATTGGCGTCGAACTCGCCGGTAAGCATGATGACAGTCTTGAAAAACGAATGACCAGGATCGGAAAAGCTTGTGTCGTCGCCATCCTTAAAGAGCGTGTAAAAAGCCAGAGCGAATGCGAGAATGAGGAATGCGTACGGGAAGAGGAAGCGCGCGAAATTAAAGGATACTGTTCGGAACATCTCGATGCCGGTAGTCATACGTGGATGCTGGCTGATTAGGATCACCAATTTCCACGCGGACAAGAGGATCACTATAGCGCCAACCTGAGGTCCTGCACCGCATAGTACGGCGAAAGACAGCACGATCAACGCAATTTCTAGCCAATTGCCTAAGTTTTCTAAATAACGCCAAGGGCAGGAGATGAACTGAAGGATTTCCCGGAAGATAAAAAGCAACAACAGTACGGTAGTGAAAGCCCATAAGAGATTGTTTTGATACCAGGCAATTTGCAAGGTACTTTCCAGAGTCGTATTATTCGAGTTGTTGTTGACCATCTGCTTTTCATTTTTACTCGTGGAATTATCATAAGTCATGCCCAGAATATAAGCGTTCAGCAAGAAGTAGAAGATCACATAGAAGGCAAAATTCGCGTATAAAATACGCCGTATTTTATGCCATTTGAGAAAAAGGAAGGACGAGAGCAACGGGTGCTTTAGTAAGTGTTTGAGAGCGCCATTACAAGCGATGTATCTAAACACATCCATTTCAGAAGTTGTTCGATGATTCTTGTCGTGTTTTGCGAGATTGTCGTGCGGCATTAGGCAGCGATAATTGAATTCGATAGTGTATTCGTTTGTCCGCTCTTTTCGTGTTTGTAGACAGTCATCCAAGTAACGCGACAACGTACATATTGGAATATCGGCAAGAGGCGGTACGTTAAAATTATTCATGTGACCAATGTAACTGCCTTGTTCGAGAAGCAGAGTCACCGCTTCGCGGCAACCTGCTCTAGCCGCGTAATGTAGCGGTGTATTGCCTTTATCTGTAAGTAAGAAAAATTTATAATGAGAATTTATTTATATAAGATTTTCAAAAAGTCATGAAATATTGCTTAAAAATATTCAAGTTATCTGTATTACATCTAGAAAATGCTATTTATATGGTATCATTGTAATATACTCACTGTCAGTACAGCGAACATCTACGTTTTCTTGTTCCAGGATTAATTTCAGACACTGCAACCGATCGGACATATTGTTGACTCCTTGTTTTCCTGGCATTCCCAATTCCAGGCAGGCATTCAGAATCAGATCGTTGGCTACTTCAGGCTCCACGTTCAGCAATTCTTGAAGAATAACGTGATTACCTCGCTCAACAGCCACGTGCGCGGCTTTCTTTACGCTGAAGAGACTTCCCTTGAGTTTTTCCAGAATTCCCACCACGACCTCGTAAAAATTACGTTGGGCGGCCATTTCTAGTAAGTCCTCGACTACATTGTGAAGAACCTCCACTTTGACGAGCTCCAAACTCTTCAGAAAATTCATCTCGTCATTGGCAATCAGGTAATACTTGAGATCATGCACATTTGTCTCTCGATTTTCGGACCTAGGTGGTAATAACAATCCCGGCAATTTCTGATGAATCACCTCTCGCGTCGTCTGACGGTTGTAGTCCTTGTAACTATCTATATCCGGACATTGTCGACACTTGCTTAGTATCAACTCTGCCATATCGCGTTGTCCTTTCATCGCTGCCAAGTGGAGGGCTGTTAGACCTTTGCTATTAGGAATGCTGGCGCTGGCGCCTCTTTCTAGCAGTAGATCAGCACATTTGAGATCCTTCTTTCTTACCGCAATGTGTAGAGCGGTCTGTTGTCCTGCCTCGAGATTTGGATTTATCGTCGGCTCTGCTAATAGAGCTGCTAACGTATCCACATGTCCGCCTTCTGTGGCGAAATGAATAGGAGCGCGATTGTGCGCCTCATTCACTCTGTTAGGATTCGCTCCTTTATGTAATAAAAACTCTACAAACTCCGTTAAGCCATTTGTACTGGCTATGTCAAGGCATGTCTCTTCTGAATGATTAGGATAGATATAGTTGACGTTTAAAGCAGGCGGCTGTTTTTTCAAACTATGTTCCACAGTATTTCTGAAGGAACGAAAATCCTTGGATCGTAAAGCGTCCAGCAGAAGCTTGTAAAGAATTTGAGTATTGGTCGGAGAAGAATCATAGATGTTCAGCAGATGCTCCTGCTGTGAATCCTCTTCCAAATCCATTTTACTGAAGGTATCTGGTGATATAATTAACTTATAATATTGCTGTTGATATGATTATTTTATGAAAGAAATGAAAAATAATTTTTTATGAATAAATCGGAAAATTAATTATTTTTTCTTAAAAAGAGATATTGTACAGATTTAACATTGAATGGTGTTCATTATATTTATACATATTTATAACTTATTTATAATTAAAAAATAGGTTTTTTCTTTAATTTTAACAATTTGAAAATAAGAAAGAGAAATTTATAATAATATAATAGCAAGCATTTTCAGATAAAAATCTTTAAAATCAAGAATATCTAGTATAAAATGTAACTCATTTCGAATAATTTCTATAAGAAATAATTAGAACTAAATTGCATTTTTTCAGTTAATCATTTTTTAGGAACTACATTAAAGTTTTGTTAATTTGAAATCAATGCATATTTTTTTAATTATTAGCACAAACGAAGAAATATTTTTAAAAAATTATTTATGCGAAATTCGTATAATTATATTAAATTCCAATTAACTAAGTGTAAGTGAAATAAGAAAATAATTGTTATAATTATTTATTTGATAACGTTGGTCTATTCGAAAAATATGGATATATATCATTGCCTTTTTCGTTCGATGAGCTTCCGCTTTTCGTTTGTGCGTGAGAAGCTTCTCGTGGAAGCATGTGTATAAAACATCAGATGGATAAGGACAAAAAATGACGCATTGTCGTCTGTATGCACATGTGTGTGATATGTGTGCGTGTGTGTTGCATTACACTTGCAATGTGTAGTCTAGTTTCATGCGTAGGACTGCCGTTGTATGATGGCCCCGATCATGATCTCACCATCAGCCTTTATTAGAGTGCCAATTAAGCGTTTCACGCGTATTATTTCAATAGCAAGAACACAAAAGTTCTTGTTCCACCAAGATTTTTATTTATCGGTTAATAATGGACTCGATCAAGTTTTCATTAATTGATCGCTTGTTTAGCCTCGCGATAAAGGTACTGTCCGGATGAGCACTTCCTGTCATTTAGAATTAATTTAGATTTGAAATATGCGCGTAGAATCGTCAATAGAATAATTTTCGCTTTACTCGGTCAATGTTTGAAAAAAAAAAACAGCAGAGAAACAATTCAGAAAAATGCAAACAAACTTTATTTATAAGATACCCGGAGAGAGATTAACTTCAGAATTGTTCAAATATTTTTATTCATCTACGTATTTATTTGTCAATATCATAAAATATTTAAAGTTAATATTTAAAGTATTTTTCTCTTTGTAAATATAATTTATTAAATCTCATTTTAATTGAACAACTGCTGTAAAGTTTAGGAATGCAACAGGTGGAAAGTGATTAGTAAGATCGATGACTAATGGACTGATATCTTTGGCATACTTCTATAGAATTTACCTTTAATTTCCATACGAGATATTTTTTGTAATATTATTAATATGTAACTTCGAACGATATTTGTGTGGGTCGATTAAAAATTGATCGATCAGAATAATTTATGCAGTATCCATTATTTTGCACAAATGACTCCACGAATCTTTTTTTAAAGCTTTCTCTTCCTCTCGATTCGTTATATACATATTTAATGCAGAAAAAGCGTACTCAAACGTCGCACATCGGGAGGCTGCACGATCAAGATGAAAGAGAACAATCTGGCATTCTCCTCCCACAAGAAGGAGATTTTTGGATCCTCTCGGGAAGAGAACACCCTACACTCGCGGCTGCATCGCATGAGCTTATACCTCGCAACATATCAACGCAAACACATCACACACGTAATGGATTAATAAACTGACGCACCTGCGATTAATAATGCGTATAAATGGACATCCTTCGTGCTTCAACATCTAGCCAGACCCGTCGAGCTCCGACTCTACTGACCAGACCCGCTCGCTTCGCGACGTCGACGACGAGGAGGAAGAGGGAGAAGAGCGATCAAATGTCCAACACGCTCTCATAGCTTGCAACAGTGTCTCTTTTCACGCCGGCACACAAGTATAATGGTTCAACCGGTTTTCTTAGGAATGGAATATCCTTCGGTCTTGTGGATCATATATCGAAAAAAAATGTCATTAAAACGCAACTGCGAACCGTGATGGAAAATGAAAATTTCGCATAATCATGACAAATATCATTATCATTATAGACTGTCAATGAGAAATACATTTAGCTAATTTATAATTTTTTCCATGTTCGGTTAGTATACTGAAAAATACTGAAATAATTATGCGACTTATACTGAAATAATTATGTCTCAGAATTTCGTATTTTAAATTTAATAACAGTTTATTTGATCAATAATCGATATTTTCTTCACCTTGAAACAATGATAATTATTCAATTACAAGTGAATAAAAATTGAATAACGAATGACAATTTTTTAACTTTATTTTCTTAATATTTTAAACATTATTTTATTGTTGCAAAATGAAGAAAATAGCTCGTTTTGAATTCTTTTATAAACAAAAGATATTTCGTATTCTGATTTGTGCTGAAGAGAATAACTCGAAATTTAGCTTTTATTTATCATTTACAGAGTAATGGCACATGACGTCAGATTTGGCTGTTTAAATATGTGATGATATTGTCCTCTTACTTCCATTACCGGCCATACACGGATTTCACAACCCACGTACTCCCTGATATTCTCGATTTCCATCTTCGGCTCTATCAACCTTACCATATCCTAGCCATCGGGAAAAAAAAGATCAGCTAAAATTAGGAACTCACGCCATAACGAACACAATACAGTTAAAATTCCGTAAGTTATATAGACATAAATTACGATAAGATAAATTGCTCATTCTTTGCTATCTGCTGACTGCTGATCAGCTATTTTTTTTCTGACGAGTATATGCTGACTGGACCATGATGATAAATGATATAAGTAACAAAAAGAAAATTAGTTGAAACTTTGTTCCTTAAGAAAATTACATTCTTATATCAAAGATAAGAGTAATTACTTCTTGGTGATAAAAAAATTATTAATAAAATTTATATCTATAGAATTTCTGGGAAATTTTAATTTTAATCGATTGAGAGAAAAAAAAATAAATTTTAAATTTAATTAGGATAAACTGAAGTGACAGCGAATCAAAATGAATCAAAATTGAAAGTTTTCATTACTTTAAATTTGATTTATGCTTCGATGATACATAATATGAAGTTACTATGTTATTTCATTCATGATTATCTGAAAATATTAAAAGTATAGAAAAAAGTTTGGCATTAAATTCGAATTAAATTTATAATATTTAAAAAAAGCGCAAACATTCTTTATTAATATTTATTACAAATTTTTATTACATGAATAATTCAATTTCATCTCTTTCGTGCACCGAATTCTACGCGAATGATATGCTTCATCTCTGCATGTGAGGCAAGCTATTCTCAGGCGCTTGCGTTTCAGATTCTCCCAGTCTGCGGATCGCGAAAGGTGGGGAATGCGAATTCCGGGAAACATGTTGCGATACCTTGACGTTTACTTACTCAGTCGCAAATCGACGCGTCGCAGGTATACATCCACGTGTTTTACTCAGGTGTCAAAGACAGGTCTCATCCAATCGGCGGCGATCGAGCCAGCAAAATCATCTCGCTGATAAGATAATCTCTGTTCTCGACTGACATATCCCATCTTATTTACGGACTTTTTATTGATATTGAGTAAGTAAATTCACTTCTTGTAATGATTGAAGGTAATAATGAATGAATATACATTACAATTTTATGCATAAGCTCGCGGAATGACACAAATATATCTTGCGAAGATTGCGAGAGATTAATGTTAAGGCATGATCGATAACATCGTTGATAAAAGATATCGGAATGCAAAATCAGATATCGTACATATATACTTCGAATAAGTAAAAATAATAATGACATTATTTGTAATTGTTAATTAACGTCTTATATTAAGAGTATTAGGAAATGGTGTTTTAGACTTGTAAGAATATCATTATAGAAGCATTCGTTGTTTCAGTGAATTTTTTAATTACTATTTAAACGCTGATTATTTATTGATCAAGATATTTGAAAATCATAGATTTTTATAAAGCCACACATTCCAGAAATTTTTCACTTCGATAATAAACCTTTTAAACCATATCAGAATGATAATCGTTAATATATCGTTAGTGCCACATAATTTATAGAATACATATATTGTATTAATTTTTAATGAATTTCAAGAATTTACATATTTTTTAAAAAATAGAAAAAAAATTATCTATAGAATTTATAGATAATACATGTTCTTCTTGATATTGCTCCGTGATATTGACATAACATAATATTTAGGAAATCTGAAGGATATTTTACTATGTTACTGAGAAAGGGAGAAAGATAATAAAAATATATCATTTTTATTACATGTCATTATTGATGTAATGTGATATAATGTAATACAAGTAATAAATATGTAGCAATGCATTATTACTATTTTCACTTTTCTGGAGCAATAGGAATATGAGAATTATAATGAGGATAATAACATCAATTTGCAATGCTAATCTTTCCCGTACATTATTTCGACAAATATATCGAGATGTAAATAGATTTTTACATTCTTTTTTACAAAAAACAATATTGATAAATCTTATTCATTATAATTGAAATAATTTAGAGAGAATCTTGATTTATATTATAATGTATTATCCATTATTTTATATTTATTACTTGTCTCGCACATCTTTCTGTCACTTGACATAATATTTTGAATAGTAAAATTTCTTTTTAGTAAAACGTAATAAAGTATCCTTGAAATTTCATGAATATATATTAATGTCAACATGAATGTACATATATTAATGTAAACAACAGACAATGTCTATGAAAACACTGATCTGTTGACTATATGAATTATAAACTGTTTCTTAAATACATCAATTCATAATAAATTTTTGACATAAAATTTACTATTAAAATGAAAGAAAGTTTGTTAAAAAAAATACTTTCTTTCTTCAAAAAAATTACACGATAAGAAAAATAAGTTTCTTCTTTAAAAGAGTCGCTTATTTTGTAAGAGATTCGTATTTTTTGTCGCGGGTGTTTCTCAATCTCTCCCTCCAATTTTGGCGACGTCACAGTACTGTCTGTATTCTCGTGTACTCTTATGTATCCGATTTGCCACTCCACTTTCATTCCCGTATTTGGCTAATGAAATGCTGCGTGTGTATCGATATACATATATCGCGTGTCACCTTAATATGGATATACGGCAAACGTATTCGATACACAGGCGCATTTTTTGCCGTAAGTATGTCCATACAACGTGATGTCATTTAGATATATATAGTGTATGATGCGCGAATGAAAGACAGGCGAATAATGTCGCTCACAATAATATTAATACTACCTATAAATATTTCTGCGTCATCACGTGTCAACATTTCGATTAATGATTAATGATAGCAATTATTGCTAAAAAAATTCACATTTTTAAAGATTTTTCAAAACGAGTGATCTCGACGAATTTTGTAGAAAAAATATAGTAAATTAATTTGTAATTAATATAAATATTTCATTAATTTTTCAGTATTTTTTCTGTTTCACATTTTACGTGTTTATGTCCGGGTTCTTTTTCGCTCTCTACGTTCTTTTTCATTTTATCAGAATACCGTAATGAACGATGATGTAAGAAATTTGGCATAAGTGAGTAATACATTTGATCATCTCTGCCATACACGGTAATCATTGGAAATCAGTCATTATAAAACATTTTATACATCGTGTGGGTGCCGTTTATTAAATTCCGTGTTTCTCGGATTTTTTCATGTGCGTAAAACCGGAATATGATCTAATACTAATAATAACGCTGTTATTACAGTACATCTGAAAATAATATTTTTTTTTTTGTTTTAAACATTCGATATATTATTTTTCGCAAAATAAAAAATCATTTTTTTATTTTAAAATAAGTAATATTAATAAGTAATAATTTTCTATACAGAAAAAGAATTCTAAAGTTCTCAGAAAATACAGGATCTAAATCACTTAAACCTAAATTGCATGAAAAATTACATCAAGGTGCAGACAAAAAAAGTAAAGAAGAGGCATATATCTGAAAATAAGGAGAAAGTTATTGCAAATTTTAGAAACTTTGAGAGAAATTATCGTAAAATTGTAAATAGTCCGGAACATCCCGGATTCTAGAAAACAGTGTACTTTATGCATGGGTGATCAACGCATAATGCGCTGCTCCGCATGGCAAGTGGGTCATGAGTCATCATTATCATCACCATCATCATCATCATCGACTACCGTGCATTTGAGCACTTTTGAAAATCGTTGAGATGGGCCTGAACTCGGACAGTGGGCGATCGCTGCGTATGCCCATCATGGACATGCTCTTATATGGTTCGCCATGAATCGTTTCTGTATCGTGCCCCCGAGGTCGACCTCCATTGCATAATTCATGGACGTCGCATTTAACACGCGTTTCGTTGTTTACTAGAAAGAATCTCGTAATTGTCCGCGAAGTTTCACGAGAAAACCATAGAAATGCGCGTTTTAACATTGGGATATATCTGAATAATTTAAATATTCTGCACTGTGAAACTCTACAAGTTATGCATTTTTCAAGAATGGTTTTTTGAAGAAATTGAGCATAAACATTTAAATTATTCGAATATATTCCTTTGTAAACTTATATATGATTTAAATATGTGACTTAGTTCTAAAGGGCCGAGTGCAATTCTATAGAGATTTCTATAAAATTAATATATTTTATAATGTACTACATGTAATTATATAATTACATTATTATATATTAATACAAAAAATTATATTTTATAAGATTTACAAATTTACAATATATAGTAGAACAAATGCCTGTCATTATATTATAAATTTTGTAAAAAGCAGGCAACACCCTTTGAGCGACATGGTTGGAATGACACAGAAACCTTGGACACCCACGAAAAGACGAGGCCCGATTGCCGCCGAATATAGCAGCCCAGGGCCAGCCTGTGTAACTCTACCACCGTTAATCGGTAAGAATTACACAAAAATTTACATCAATAAATAATGATCATCATTAAGAATTATTTTAATAATTATTTTATATTAGTTTAATAATTCTTTACATTTCTCTTGTAATTTTATTCATTAAAATTAATTCATTAGAATTAATTTCCCAAAAGAAAATAGAGCATCGCTATATCATAAGGATATTAAAATCCGATAATTACGTTCATTATCTTTGCAAGTAATTTTCGATGGCAATTCATTAAGCCTCGTTTGTTAACGCAATGGATAATAGAGATCTAATCATTCATGGGAATTGATTTGTCAACTTTCGCGGTCGCGCAAGAAGAACTTACATATTTATTAACTTATCATATAGCCATGATTCACACACTTGTATTTCGATTATTACATATTTATGATATACGAACTGTATGCGGAACTTTATAATTAAAGAGACAGCCGTGTTTCCCTATAATAATAATATTGCCTTGCAATGTCTCTCTCGTTTAAATTAGTTACGCAAGTATTTTTTCACATTCTTCGATAATATGTAGATCATCATGGTACTTGGTTATACAATATGAAAATATATGTAACGTGTTTGCAGGAAAAACAGTTCCAGATTCTAAACGAGAAAGAGCACCAGCATTTTCCTTTGGTAGCAGGTAGAGCTGATAATTTCAGTTTAATCTTTTGACAGATTTTTTAATTATTTTTTATATGTAATTTTTTGTACAGATTTTATAAATTATTATAATGTATTATATTTGAAAGAATAAAACTGTTTGTCATATTTTATATTGCAAATCTAAAATCATTATTATTATTTAATGAATGCGATTCTTCCGCGTTCAAATTTTATAAGCAAATCTATCGTAATTTTACGTACAAGTTATTAATATGACTAACAATTTTTCAGACATACGATGAAGAATAATAGCCCTGGACCAGGCCCTGGACAATACAATGTTTCCGGACTTAGTGCAAAAGGTAAATATGTCACATAAATAAAACATTTGCATGTTTACAAAATTTTAATAACATTTAAAACATGAGCAATTAGATATAAAAATTGCAAGTAGACAAAAAATCATAGAATAGATTCAATTAAAACATTTAACCAAAATATTTTAACTTAAAATAAGTGATATTTGAACGACTGCTATTATTTTATTATAATAAAATACGAAACAGAATACGATAATAATATTAAGATGTTGAGCGAGATAAATTATAATACGTGTTTAAATGCGCCATTGCTTCGCAAACTTGCAAGTTCCGCTATGCGTCGGCCAAAGTATCGACCAAACTCCAAACTCAATATTCCACAAGAATGATACATTTTAATAGCTAACGTTCACGAAATTCCTTCACTTTATGCTTGAATAGAACAAGCACACGCGATCGATATGCATACAACTTTAAAAGATTGACCTGATTTAGATATAATAAATATTTCAATTCATTACATTAATTTTTAATTCGTATGTCTACGTAAGTTTTGTATTATTATATTTGTATAAAAAATTTCTAAGTTTTGAAATTGATGATTGGGATATTTTATATTGAGATATCTTGAGCGCTTTCTTTTTTGCATACAAAAAAATTATTAAAAATAGTATAAAAAATAAATATAAAAAATATTTTTAAAAATTGCAATATTTGTAGTAAAAATCTTAATAAAAATCTAATTAATCTAACTACTATTAATTATATATTTTAAATATATACAAATTATAAATAACATAATACATGGTGGCTTCAAAACTTTTTAGGAAAGGATGCTGCACCCGCCTTGTCGCTGCACGGCCGAACGAAATCGACGAAACCGGAAATTACACCGGCACCAGGCGATTACAATCCACAAAAAGCGCAAAAAGTAATTCTAGATAGCTCGCCTAAATATTCCTTTGGTGTTAAAACGCAACTCGAGAAAATCAGTTGTACACCCGGTAAGTCAAAATTTAAATAATATGAAATTTCAAAAATTTTCCAACAGAATTGTGAAAAACTCTGAAATTCGTTTGACGTGAGATTGTAAAAGTTCGCGAAAAATATATTCATTTTCATTCAATCATATCTATTTTATTAAATATAGAATTTACACAAGTCAATTTATTAAAAAGTACTTATGTTGTTTTTTTTATATATTCAAAATATATAATTTCATATATATATATATATATATATATATATATATATATATATATATATCACATTTACTGCAATAAATGTTATCAATAAAAATATTTCACTTTTTATAATTAAGAAATTTGTTATGAGTACACATATAATCGAGACACCACTTACGTCGTATCACACTACAACAATATCGAAACATGAAATATTGCATCTCGATCGTAGCACCGAGCGACTATCGCGCTGAAATCGTGAATCTCTACTATAAAGCAGCAGCAGCGTTCACTTTTGGCGTAAAAGCTGCATTGAAAAGACCAAGTGATATTCCCGGTAATTATGCAACTTAAATAATCGTGATTTTTGTAGCTAATCTTCAATACTAAAAAAATGCATAAGTTCGTAAAAGAATATGATAAAACACTAAATGCAACGTTAAATTTAGCATGTTGATTGAAACTCCGTACATTAATGAAATTCATCAATGTATTATAACAATAAAAATCACATAAAGTCACATTATTTAAAATAATGTATTAATATTGCAATAATTACTGAATGTTATTTAATTTCATCTATTTAAAATAACTTTCTTATTTTTATTCCACAAAAAGTGATTTATTCTCATTAGTGAAAGTTTTACAAAATTATCCAATAATATATTATAAAAATTATTAATAACAAACTCTGTGTGAAAGAAAGATAGATATAAAGCATAAAAAATTATGTTTGCTACATTACATTATTATATGGACACCATGTGTGTATGTGTAGTGTTTAGGATAATCGATGCCACACCGCAACTAATCGCGGTTAGCCATGGGACTTCGTTTGAGGAGTATCACCTCATAAATCGATAAACGAAACTATTATCACCGAAGAATCGCTGCTTAGGTATAGACTAGTGGTTTCTTTTAATGTATAAATATTAGGATACTCACGTAATTTAGCGATTTGAACGCGTAATAAACTTATCAAGGCACACCGTAAATCTCTCATAAAATTAGTAGCAATAATCTTCGAGTCTTCTACTCCCTCTTCACAGTAATTAATTGTGCACGTGTGATATCTGATGTAGAATAATTGTAATTAATATATAGTATAGGATTGATTAATATAGTGATAAACATAAAAAAGTAGGTAACAAAACGTTATTCTCTCATAGTATTCGATATTTAGAAATGCAATTAAATGCAATTAAATCGATAGAGCGTAATTAAAATTGCTAGCTGCATACGTAAAATATTGACAGAGTAGTGTCGCTTATCGCCGTAAAGTAAATTGTTGCTGCATGTGTCGCGATGTGTTGAATGTCTCCCTTTATATACCTTTATTCCTCTCCGAGTTTATTAATCTAGAGAGACTTGATGGTAAATGCAAGTAGAAAATTGCTGCTCGCGGAAATTGAAAACTTGTAAAATTTATCGGCAAGTGTGTCTAGCTCCAGGTACTTATCATCCCGAGAAAACGAGACTGGACAGTACACCGCAGTTCACGTTCGGACTTAGAACATCGCTCGATAAACCGAGCGACACACCAGGTAATATGAAAGAGAGAGTAGAGACTTAAAATTGTAAATTAAAATCACTGTAAATAAAAAAACGTGCATATTTTCTGAAATTGCTCAATAAATTTAATTTTATCCGATGTTATACAAGTATATAAATTTTCTTTATTCTATTTTATAAAAATATGTATCATTAGCAAAAATATGTATCAATAGATAATTATCAAGAAAAATTTCTTTCGAAAATAAAGCATTTTATAAAATTATAAGATTAAAAAATATTAATTACAAATAATTGGAGATCTATGATATATCTCTTCTCATATTTCTTAAGTCTAAGAGAGAACTACTTATCTAGATGTTTTATTTTCTATTTTCATCATTAGTGGATTTACTTTTGTTTATTTTATGTGTTTTGCATTTATTGTTTTATCGTTTAACAACATATTTTTTGTCATTTCGCTGTAGCACCTGGGACGTACAGCCCAGAGAAAGTAAACCTGGAAAAAGGTCCGCAGTATAGTTTGACCGGCAAAGCTCGGGTTGAAAAATGTAATGGAACACCAGGTACACTGAAATAGTCGTATATATTTTGCAAAAAAAATTATAATAAAATAACATAATTTTTTCTATTGAATAGCGCCAGGCACGTATTGTCCCGAAAAGGTGAGGCTGGACCCATCACCACAGTTCAGTTTCGGATTAAGACCCGCTGTGGAGAAACAGAATGATACACCAGGTACGTATCTTGTTATCAGAATACTGAGCAATATTGTATTTTTTTCTCTATTTTAGCGCCTGGTACTTATAGTCCCGAAAAGGTGAATCTAAATAAAGGACCTCAGTACAGCTTAAGCGGTAAGGGATCTACCGAGAAACCCACCGATACACCAGGTATGATAAAATTATGATCATAAATCAATATTTGCAAATTATAATTTATATAATATTTTTTAGTATATATAGATTGTTGGGGAAATGTAATTGTTAAATATAGAGAATGAAATAAATATAAAGATAACACACACACACACACAATTACATTTAGTTAAATAAATTTAAGAATATGAATCGCGTATAATGAAATGTAATATAATTTGATAATGCAATTTTCAGCGCCTGGAACATATAGTCCTGAGAAAGTTAAATTGGATAGCACACCGCAATACAGTTTCGGAATTAGGCCACCTCTGGAGAAATCCAGTGATACTCCGGGTAAATAATATATTATTGTTAAACACAATTGTATCACTATTTCATACTAATTATTGCATGCGTTTGTTTTTATCTCGCAGCACCAGGTACTTACAGTCCAGAGAAGGTAAATTTGGATAAAGGGCCACAGTACAGTTTGACTGGCAAGGGATCCGCCGAGAAGCCCGCGGATACACCAGGTATATAAAAATCGTGCGTGTGAAGAGATATGTGATCTGTAAATATAAATTATATAACACCGTGATTTTTAGCGCCTGGCGCATATTCCCCAGAAAAAGTCAGATTGGATAATACACCGCGATACAGTTTCGGGATTAGACACGCCCCAGAGAAAACCAGCGATACACCAGGTATTTAAGTAATATATTGCATTTAATATAAGACCCTATCGCATATCCTCATCTCGCTTTTATTTTGTAGCGCCTGGTACTTATAGTCCAGAGAAGGTAAATTTAGATAAAGGTCCACAATACAGTTTAACTGGCAAGGGACCCGCCGAAAAACTCGCAGATACACCAGGTATCTATAAGAACACGCATCAAATCGCGTATTTTTTTTAGCAAGTAATACAACAATGCGATTTTTATAGCACCTGGTACGTACTCGCCCGAGAAAGTAAGATTGGATAATACGCCGCAATACAGTTTTGGTCTGAGACCCCTCTTGGACAAGTCTAGTGATACGCCAGGTATTTTAAAATATGTTTTACTTCATCACGAGTTCAGCTATTATTATATACTTAATTTTTTTTTGTGCAGCACCTGGAACTTACAGCCCAGAAAAAGTGAATTTGGATAAAGGACCGCAATACAGCTTAACCGGGAAACGATTTGTTGAGAAACCTGCCGATACACCAGGTGTGTAAAAATGCATGTAAAATATGTAATTTCTTAGATGATGAGCGTAACAAAATGAAATTTTCAGCGCCTGGCGCGTATTCACCTGAAAAAGTGAAATTGGATATCACGCCAAAATACAGTTTTGGACTTAGAACGTCTCTCGATAAACCCAGCGATACGCCAGGTATTATTAAATACACATACACGTTGCACTTAATTCATATAGCAAAATTTAATATTAAGATCACATTATTTTTTTAAATCATTTTATGAGCTTACTATGTGTATGTTTTTCATGCAGCGCCTGGTGCTTATAGTCCAGAGAAGGTAAATTTGGATAAAGGGCCGCAATACAGTTTGACTGGCAAAGGATTCACACCGAAGCCTAACGACGTTCCCGGTACATTTTGATCTTTTCTCGCGATTGCGATATATTTGATAATTACTAATTTTTGATATGTATTGTTGCAGCGCCTGGTACGTACAGTCCCGAGAAAGTAAACTTGGACAAGGGACCGCAATACAGTTTGACCGGGAGAGGAACACCGGAAAAATTGAGCGACAACCCAGGTGAGAGTCATCTGGATAAATCTCTTTTTCCGAGACGCATACTTGGATATACTGTTAACACGCGAAGAGAGAATTTAATTAATATGAATAGTAAATAGGACAACATTAATTTTTTGATTACCCCGCCTCTATAGGCCCCGCTGATTACAAACCAGAGAAAGCTCTAAATCTGGAACATAAACCTTATTACAGTTTTGGTATTAGAAAACCTTTGGATAAACCTAGAGATACACCAGGTAACGGTGTGAATTAATCCGACATTAACATTTCGTCTTTAGCAATCGTTTTCTAACGCGATATACGATATATGATAGTAGAAAAAAAGATAATCGAATAATAAGTCACCACTTTTTGATTGCTTTTGGTAGGCCCTGCCGATTATACTCCGGAGAAAGCTCTAAATCTGGAACATAAACACTATTTCAGTTTTAGTAATAGAAAACCCCTCCATAAGACTCGCGATACACCAGGTAATGGTGCAAAATCTAACGAAGAAAATCGTTAGATCGTTTTTTCTAATCATTTAAATGAGAATGAACAATATTAATTTAATCTGATTGCTTCGGTAGGCCCTGGTAGTTACAATCCAGAAAAAGCTCAACATTTGGAACATAAACCTTATTTCAGTTTCGGTAATAGAAAGCCTTTGCATAAGTCTAGCGATACACCAGGTAAACGGTGTGAATTGAAAGAATATTAATATTGTCTATTGTCTTGCTGACACTTTATTGTTTATCTATACTCTATTGTTTATCTATGTGCGAGTCTAAAGTAGGCATGTCATAGATTAAATGCTTTATCCCTACTAATCGTCTACGAAAAAAACAATTGTATATAATAATATCAATACTAATAATATATGTATACCTATGTGTGAAAAGACGAGAAAAAAAATGAGAAATATTGAAATAAATTGTGGATTTTTAGAATTTTGAGCCTTGTGTGTAAAATTCTATGTACTTCTAATATCTTAATTCCTACGATTCCTATGAGATATTATTGTGATAAAACATGTGTAATTATGTGTGTGCCATGTTCTCTGCAAATATGTGTTTTAGTACTAGTACACGGTGTAAAAACATGGTAAATATAATCTTTCAAGAATACAAAGACATTTTATAACTCATTTGCAGCTCCCGGTACGTACAGTCCCGAGAAAGTAAACATATCTAAATCGCCGCAATATAGTTTTGGCGTTAAAACTGAGATCCATGAAAAGGACGCTATACCAGGTGCATTTTGTTATTTTATCATTGTTCTTTGAATAATCTTTTTAATCAATATTTTCTGTATCTTATTTTTATCTCATTGATCTGCAAAAATCTAATTTACAATTTTTAATTTATCTTTTAATAATTCATTTTTCGTAAAACATTCTAGGTCCCGGCGAATACAGCCCGGAAAAAGCAATGCTTTTGTTAGAGAAAGCATTGCGATTTACTTTCGGCCTCAGACCACCCATGAGCAGGCCAGACGGCGTTCCAGGTAAATAATCAATCAATGTATTAATTTCAGCCCGAAAGATGCAGGTGCCGATGATGCATGTTATATAGCAGCATGTCACATCGTAGCAATTTCATATTCGTATATATATTAACGTGCATGGAATGTTATACACTGTATTAGTTTATCACTGTAATTAGCTTTAGTTTGATCTTTTTTTATTGCTTCCTGACTTCATATGTCACTTGATGAGATGCAATTATCAGACAATTTTATGGGAAAATATCAATATGTTACGGTTGTATAAAAAAAAATACAAAAAAAGAAATACGGCGTAAATGGTGGATGAAACGGTTTATGAGAAATAATGTAATTATCCGCGCGAGCACGGAATTTCTAAAGAAATAGATTAATTGAATATTTCAGCGCCTAATATATATAACATCCCCTCCACCCTCGGCGGAACCAAGGAAGGTAACAAGAAAGCAGCGCCCGCCTATTCGATATCCGGTAGGCAAAAAGTCTTTACGGATGATCGCGTTTTCGTACCCGGACCGGGTGCGTACGAGGCCGTCAAACCGGACGCGATTAGAGTGAAAAGTCCGGCATACAGTATGAGCGCTCGTTTTCAGTTGCCCGATGATCATTCACAGATCCCAGGACCTGGAGCACATTGCCCGGAAAAGGTATCACCGTAGTTAAAACGCACATTATATTTATATAAATATTATTTAATATATATTTAATATATATTATATTAATATAATGTAAATATATTTAATTTTATATAAAGTGTGTTATATAATTATATGTATATGTCATATATATATATATGAAACAGAATACATGTAAAAAAACATAGCATCTATAAGAAATATATAAAAAATATAGAAATTATATATCTAATATCAAACAATTATATATATGTTACATAAATATAACGATAAAATGTAATATGTGGAATGTAATGGCGATTAACATAATTAATCATTGTTCTAGGTGCTTCTTGACATTCCCCCTGCGCACACATTTGGCATCAGACACTCTGCATATATTTGTAATTTAAAGGATGCAGTTTATTAATTTCATCAATGAGTGACAACTATACATGCATAATGATTTATTGACTAAGACATGCTCTCTTGCTTTTTTTTTAATTGCCTTACAGTATTTAGTCAGGTCCTGTTCTGTTCTTCTTTTATGTTTCTATTTGATTATTTTATTAGCTATTACTAATTCTATATATTAAAAATATCAGCAGAGAATAAAATTAAAAGTTATTATATTTCAAAAAATCCAGTATACTGATACAGTTTAAACACAAAATTAAAATTATTGTAAGCAAATATTAAATGCAATGTAGCATGTAAATATATATATAAATATATATATATATATATATATATATATATATATATATATATACAAATGTGAAAATTTCAATATTATTCAGACACTCTAATATTTTTCTTTCTTTTTAAGTAACGTTTATTTTATCGTATTTCAACTCGTATAAAAGAAGCCTTATGTATATTAATATAAAATTTGTAAGTACACATAATGAGATTGTAAGAATAATTTAATATAGCCCAACATTACCTAATCTTTCTTTAGTTGCATAAAAAAAATTTTCGCAAATTAAACCATTAAATATTATTTGACATCTTTATGCTTTATAGAGCATAAGCAAAACAAAATAAAACCTATGATTAAAGATAAATATGATTAAAGAAAATTTTGTCAAAAATACAAATGAAAAAGAGCATAGAAGCTCTGTATAAGTTTCCAAATTAATAAACAATATATTTATTGTTACATATTTACATCTTAATAGAAAAAAAATGAAAATACTGTACATTTTTCTAATATCTTTCATTTAGCAAAGTACATTCACACTCATAATTATGATATAATCTTTATAGATTTCATATGAAGCAATACTATGAAAGATCAAAGAAATTAAATTTCCAAATTATATATATTACGTAATATATATTTTATTTTTTTATATATAAAATAATCTATTCTCAAGCATAAAACTATAAGTATAAATGTATAAAATCTCACAGTGCAATGTAAAAAAGTTATTATCTGTGCTAAGTTTAAGGCTTTTTCATTGTAATATTATTATAGGCTTGTCACTGTCAATTTATGAATAGATCGCATAATAGGATCAGTTGTTTCGCACAACTGATTTCTGATTTATATCTGGATTTACTTACGTTTACACTTCCAGTTGTTTTGTGCTGCCAGGAATCTTCTCATAAACGCATTCTCCCGAAATCCATGTCGACAGAAGCTCTAACTTCTCATCCAGTAATATAAAATCGGCATCGGCTCCAAAATTAAGAATACCTTTGTAAGAATCAATACCGAGGCTCCTCGCTGGATGCAAAGTCGCCGCTTCCAAAGCTTCGACTACTGTGCAACCTATATGAAACAATTATATCATCGAGTACACACCGTGCGCACTGCATTATTAATATATCTGTTTTATTATTATTTGATTGTTATAATGTCTTTAATTTACCTGTAGCATCTTTAAAATATCTTACACACTTGGACATTTCAGTTATGCTACCACACAAAGTATCCGTTCCAGCGATGTAGGCGCATCCTTTACGTTTCTCTATTTTGAATTGTCCTAATTGATGGATTCCTTCTTCCAAACCCAACGCTGATATTGCGTCTGTTACAAGTACTAAACCTTTAGAAAAACAGTTTGACTTTAATGTTATGAAAACTGTATTATAAGGCAAGTATGCATATACATATATAATATGAACCTTCAGGATGCGTTCTATGAGCGATTCGCAATGCCGCTGGATGAGTATGAATCCCATCAGAGATTATGCCAAAATGAACAATTCTTCCAAATGGAATTTTATCAGATGTTAAAAGACCAACTAATCCTGGATCTCTATGATGAAACTGAAAATTTAAAAAATTCTATGTGTAAGATACTTTTAAAATAAAAAAGTCAATTATATAAAACTTCATATTTTACAGCTTACAGGTAACATAGCATTGAACAAATGAGTAATAAATGATGCTCCATGTTTAACTGCCTCTTCTCCTTCATTTAAATTCGCTATGGAATGTCCTAGAATATGTGATAAACTGTGATAAGAGGAAACTTTGCAAAAGTCTCTCAACTTTCATAATTTTTTATAACTTTTATATTGAATATATCTCTGTAAGATATTTTATATATTTAAATACAATATACGATAAGTACTTTTATTTATTGCTGAGATATTAGAGATATCTTACCAAGAGATACTTTGATATTTCTTTTACATAATTCTTCAATAACAGATATAGCATTTGGAATTTCAGGTGCTAACGTGAACATACATATATTGTCCAGATCTCCATACATATCAATAACTGATTTAAATCCCTGAAATGCAATATAGTTATTTAAAAAATATGTGAATTAACACATTGAATAATATTTTACAGATGTAGTCTGAATATAAAGTGGAACAGATTTGATTATTATCTTTCTATTACCTGATCAAATTTTTTAATATAATGTTCTGGATGAGCGCCTTTCTTATTTGGACTAATAAATGGTCCTTCTGTATGAACACCCAGTACACAAGCACCATGACTACCACCATTTCGTTTTTTTATTCTTGGTAATATTTTGTGATATATTTCACTGGGGGATGTTACCAAAGTAGGACAAAATGATGTTACTCCATGTGTTAGCAATCCTTTCGCTACTCTATCAATACCCTCTTCTACATTGTTGACATTGAATGAGAAATCTATGCCAAATCCTCCTAACATAAATATTAATTTATTTATAAAGATATTTAACATAAAAGGAATTTTCATTAGATAATAGATTTAGTGTGCTAATTTTAATAATAAAAGGGAAAAGACAAATTTTCTATTTTTGTATCAATTCATGAAATTTATTGTTTTTCATTCACAATTGTTTTCTGTTTCTGTGATTCATAATTTACATTTTGTAGATAAAAAAATTTTACAAGCCTAATTTATAAAATTTATTTTATTTTAAAAGTCTAATTTATGTGTGATAAATTTGTTATTTTTTATTTGACAAGAAAAAATGACATAAGAATTAAATACCATTGATCTGCACATCTATGTATCCCGGTGAAATCAGGGCGCCGCCGCAGTCTATCTTAACATCTGGCTTGATTTTCTCATCGTAGAAAATCCTCTCCGGATTGATAATCCTTCCATCGCGAACCCATAAATCCTCCGTCTGGATCCTGCTATCGCGCAGGATTCTGCAATTGCAGAATTGCTTGAGGACTCCCATGTCGCGTCGCAGAATATTCGTGTGACAATGAATTCGCGAATCAACGTAATCTTATAAATAAGGTCCTTATCTGCGTGCGTACATTATCAATTAGGCGTGTCAACTGTCAACGTTGCGGTTGCTATCTAACATTGGAGCCGATTAAAATGGCGATTGGTGGAAACGAGATCGCGATGACTTGCCACGTCTTTAACAACAAATTCATCCCGATAAATGAATGGAAGATTAACGGATAAATAATAGAAGGCTCGATCAGCTGTACTGTGTAAACATAAATGCCGGCCTGCGAGATATGATCTATATCTTCGACTATGATTAACCTAGATACGAAACCGACAGAATAGAATGTCATCGTGATCTAATTCGAGATTAGAACATTGGCGCCATATGCAAATGAGCCAAATTTATCTTTATTCGCATTGTCTTTAATTCCCTTCACAAAAAAGGGAAATTCCCTTAATAAATATATATCTTTCTCCTCTATAATTATGATATATATTCTAGATTTATTCATATTTATTTCATTCTTTTCTCTTTCAAAAATAAAGAAGATCCGGATATCTTATTTAAAGAAGAGATATCTTGTTTATTTTCAGAATGATTTGTCATTATTCTGTGATATAATATTTTTATAATGCAATTATTATCATGTCTGATTTAAAAACTATATAATCTATTATAAGAAAAGCTCTGTCTTAAATTAAAATTTTGTGTATTAAAATACCTCGAATTATACATGTATTTAAGAATAAAGAAATATATATATATATGGAGTAAAAAAATTTAACTATACAAAGAAATGATATAAAAATAAAATAAAATATATAAAAAAATGTATAAAAATATCTTTCTTACTTGACAAATCACTCATTCTTCAATCTACCATGAAGTTGGTCACGCATTCGTAGCGACCTCTCTGTTAAATGTGTCACATACATAACATACGTGTGCGTACGTCATACGCTTATCGATACCATTATTGACTTGTGTATGATCTACGATTGACATTTACCAGAAAGAGCGAGAGCGAGAGAGAAAGAGAGAAAAGCTGAAGTAAATCGGAGGAGGTGTCTCATTCCCTTCACTTGATAACGAGTCGTAGATACATTCCATTAGTATCTTCTAGACGAGACTCGAACTCTTTTACGAGGTGCGAGTGAGTGTCCTGCAAGTAGAACACGCTTTTTCAGACGAATAAACGGTACATTAAACTTGGTTAAACATTAACGCAAGATTCAGTTAACCTCAAACGTCAAACTGCCGCTGACGTTTGACTTTCTGAGATACATGATATATATTTCATCTCTCTATATATAATATTACATTTATATTATATATATATATATATATATATATATATATATATTACTTATTATTATAAATATTAATCATTCCTAACAATTCTAAGAAATCTGTAAAATGTAACTTATATTAGACATACATCTGTCATATAGAATGTTTATTCATTCACGATACAAAATATATATAATTTATGAAAAGAAAGAAATAACATGTAATACTACAGCACCTCTGCTAAGAAATCATGAGGTCTATCTATATCCTTAATATATTGGTATCTATCTATATCCTTAATATATTGATAAAAATATTTTCAAATTTCTATTTAAATAACAATCAATCTTGTTTGATCTCTATCAGGTAATGGATGCGTTTGGCGACAATTTTGTCATTGAGCCGGAAGTAGATCCAGCGGCAGAGTTTCTAGCAAGAGAGCAGGATCAATTGGCTGGGTTAGAGGATGAGATTACACCGATGGCTGTGACTTTGGCTGCAGCAGCAGCAGCAGGTCAAAGTGATGGTAAATAGGATTTGATATACAAAGAATGCTGGGCAAGAAATTTGTTTTATCCATTTATAAATAGAAAATATGTATATACAAAATTTGATTAAATATGTCAGAACATATTGTTTTTTGTATATTATAAATAATATCTTATAGATGATCTGTCTGGGAAATTTGGGAATTTGAAAGTTGGCCCAGGTGGAGATGCTGAAGGCAGTTTTGAAATTGTAGATACTATTGGTCAGTCAACGGAAGCACAAACACCACTGACAATGACAGGTATAAAATATTTTTAAATCTTGTTTTAATTGCACCTTAATAAGAATTAATTAACAAGTTGTATTTTCATATATATATAGAATCAGCACCTGTAATTGCACCAGTCAAAGAAGAACCCGAAAAAATCAAAAAATGGAGGGAAGAACAGAAAGCACGTCTTGAGGAGAAAGGTATTAAAATCAAAATATAATCTTAAATAATATCTTAAAATAATTATGTTATGATTATTTTATGAGGATGATGAATAATATCGCATGGAAATTTTTCAGATGCGGAAGAGGAGAAGAAAAAAGAAGAATGGAGAGAAGCTGCAAAGAAAGAGTTAGAAGAATGGTATAAACATCATGCAGAAGCTATTAATAAAACGAAAACTACTAACAGGTAATTTTACTAATTTTCTATTATTTTGTCTTCTATTTCCTTGTATATATACATCTATCTTCAAAAAATTGACAAACTAAACTGAACATCAAATGTGGTTGTTAATTATTGGTATTTGTTAGTGCTTATCAACAAACTATATAGTAGGAAAATCTCTATAATAATATTTTTATTAAAAAACATAGAAAGCAATAAAAATGTAATGTTTTATTAACAAAAAGAATAGTAAATATTATGATAATCAATGCAATTAATATAAATAATTCAATATTTATAAATAATTTTTAAAGTTTTTTGAATATATATATAATTGTATTATTTTCATTTCGCTTCTTAGGGAGTCAGCCAAGTAAGTTAAAATATCTTTATTCGCATGAAAACATGCATTGCATCATGATTTATGCATTGTAACACAATTTGCTTTCACAACTTTGAAAACTCCAACACTGATTGTTCAGAATGTGAACATAAAAGCACAATTATCTCTCATTTTTTCCTTTTCAATTGTCACAATATCGCTTCTTAATACATTGTTATAAAATTGCACTAAACAACATTGCTTGATGAAATTATTCTCAAGAATATCTTTGCTTTACAATACTTGAATATGCATATATTGATATACATCTAAATGTACTTGTTAATCCTTGAATGTTTGTCAATCATCTCACAATCACTAAGAACTATATTTTCATATAAACTGAACAAGAAAAAAATGAATAATTGAGTCAATGGACCATTAGGAATATTATAAAAGAATTGTGATAAATAATTTGGATTGATCCAGTATCTAAATATATATTACATTTACCACATTATTTAAGTACATTGCTCAAGTACAATATAAAATATTTATTTTCCCCCTTTGTTTCCAAATAAATCGAGATATATAAATAAAACATATCACTTAATTTTTCGTTTCATTATATTACTAACTGATGTAATACATGATTTGGCATTGATTTGATGCACATTCTTTCACGAATAGGAATGCGGAGAAGCAATTCGTTGCAGAGGCAGATGAAGTTGAACCAGGCACCGAGTGGGAACGCATTGCCAAGCTTTGTGAATTTAACCCAAAATCATCTCGCACTTCCAAAGACGTCTCTCGGATGCGCTCGATTATTTTGCAATTAAAGCAGACACCGCCCACTCCTATTAATGCTTAATTAAATTGAAGAAGCTATTAGACATTAAAGATATGAATTGATATGATAAATAAAAAAATATGATTAAAAAAATGAAATAATAAATGCATCGTGTGATCACGGTGCGATATTATAACGAAAAGGAAAATTGATTAATGTTCTGTTAAAAATAAAGTATGTAATATTATATTATGTATAATAAAGATTATTGATAACAAATACAAGTAATAATGAAAAATATGAACAATATATTTCTGGTAAGATATAACAAAGGGAGAAATTGATATGGAAATCAGTAAATATACTTATCAGTATAATGAATATTTATTAACTACGAAGAACAATATTATTAAAAGTATACGTTAAGAGTTTTAAAAATTTTATCGCGAAAGTTTTCAAGTTACAAGTCTTCTGTAAAAACATCTCAAAATATATATCCATTTTCTCTTATTTTATCTACAATGTAGAGTTTGTTGCAACAACATTAAATATATATAAAAAAAGCTTTATGAGCGTCCTTAACATAATTAAGAGTTTCTATAGTCAATTACATTAATTAACTCTAACTCGAGGTAAATTAATTTTGTTTTCTTATATTATGCAGGATTGTAATCTAAGAAGAAGCCAATGCTGCTAATTCAAAGTTCAGCAATCCAGATTGTCAATGTAATTCCTTTTTTTTTTTTTTGTTTAATTGTTTACAAACAATTTTTTCCTGAGCGATTTTATATTACTAAATCTGTAAGTTAAAAGAGAATTAAAAATTAAAATGCGCGCTATTTTATCATTATTATTAATAAATTTAAAATTAAAATAATGCAATTAAAATTTAAAGATGTCTAATATACCTATATGGATCACGTTTCATAGCTAGCTGCATATCGTGCCGCCAACGATAAATATAAGGATATTTATCAGGATAAATCGTAGACAAAAGCGCATTATAGACAGCATGATCTAATTTTGTTGGTGAAGATCTAAAAAATATTATTAATCATGCAAAAAATATTTAAGTGAAATATATTTTTGCATTAAGAATGAAAAAAATAGTTGTTTACCCTTCAATAAATATCACAGAACCTTCTTCAGCAGTCTGCATATCATCATCAGAATCATCCTTGATGGGTTCTGGCGAAGATGGAGGTGTGAAAAATTCTAAGCTATCTATGAAATGGAAAATACATGGTCAGTATTAATCTTTATTATATAATAAAATCATGATTAATAAGATGAAATATTCCATGTAGTATAATATTTCATATATACACCACAAAAATTATGAAATAAACAATACCTGTATCATCTTTAATTTCATTAATTTTAGTAACTAATGAGCATAAGCGTAATTTATCACATAAATTTTCTACTTCATTAACAATTGTTTTTTCTGGCATTTGTTGGCAATTTGCTGGCACATGTGTATTCATATTATTAGTCTGATTATTCTGAAGAAACAAAAATGTTAAAAAAATTAATTTTATAAGCATTTAAAATATAAACAAAAGTTATTTGATATTTTTTTTATACCATAGAAGAAAATGTTGGGTCCGTATTCTTAAATCTCTGCTCCAAAAACTTTTCGAGTTTTACCAATCCTTCGTCACTCCGGAAATCGACGAAATCCTTCAAGAACGGCCAGTATTCCTTCCAAGGCACTTGACATTCCTCAGCAAGATCTCTAAACAAAAAAAGATACATTAGATATATAGAAATACTAAAAATATTAGACAAACAATTTATCTATTAAAATAAATAAGATTCAGAAAAAAAAACAGATTCTATTCAAATGCATATAATATCATTAAATGATGAAAAAAATTACATTAATTAAAATAATTATAAATTCTAAGTATAATGTGTGAAGTTTTTTAAAAGATATTTTTCACAGATACATACATTGCAAGTAATATCAATATTAAAAACAAATATAGTAACAATTAATAATTTAAGTTTATTTATACATATACCTTCCAACACGTTCTAATCCTTTTTCTGTATCTTGCAGTCTCAAAACTAAATTAGGACTGTTTCTAATATTGAATGCATCACCTTGTCCTTTCTTAGGAGTAACGCGTGGTGGTGTTTTCCATTTTTTCCGAAATTCTACTGCCTGTGATTTAGTCATTGGACCTGCAAATGCCCTTACTTCTACTCGTGGACTAATAGGATCTATATTCAAATTCTGAAAATAATAAAAAAGATGGTAAAAAATTTATTTTCTTTTTTTTTAATATGAAATTTTTACTAATACAAAATTTTTACAAGTGGACTAGTTGGTGAAAATGGTTCTCCAATGATAGGTGGACATGCATTGCCTTCTGCTCTTAATACAGGTACATAAAATTGATCTTCTATTAGCATACATATCTCACGCTTCAGATTTTCATCTTCATTTTGCTTCCTGCTACATATTATCTAAAATTAAATTATTACTGCATATATATATATATATATATAAAAGTAAAAAATAATAAAAAAATAAATTAAAAACATACATCCACAGGCAGCTGGTTATACTTGTTTGGCAAAGTTTTAATACATTGAGAATAAGAGACGAGAACCCGGACTACATCTTTATGACCATATTTAACAGCAAAATGTAGCGGAGTCTCATTGAGTCCTTTGTCAGGTGTATTTAAGTATAAATCCTGCATAATCTGTGCAGGGTTAAAATACATTTTTTTACACTCTTCTTCCCCATAATGCCATTGCATAAACTTAGGATCTCCAACAGTATTTAATATAAATTCACACATTTCTGGCTTATTCTTGTTTGCTGCAATATGCAAAGCATTATAGCGGGAACCCATCTAAAATATAACAAAGTTGTTTTCTATAAGACAATATATAAGATTTACAAATAACTAAGTAATAATTACTAAGTAATAATTTTAATGTAAAATTACATAATTATAAATTTTTAGTTATTTTATAATTATAAATTGACTTCAACATACATATTTGATTATACAATATTTAAACATTGCAAAATATACTTGCTTGTAAAATTGCAGGTGTATCCGCACTACTAATTAGATATCTGGGATTTTTCCATACAGTTTTCTTAACACATTCCAAATCTCCATTTTCAATTAATCTTTTAAAAGCTTGAAGCTCCTGTACTTCTGGTGCTTTAAAATTACTAGATTTTTCTTGTGTCACAACAGTGGGTATAACTGTGGAATAATTGCTAGAAAGTTGTTCGTGTCCAGCCCTTACATATGCCACAGCATCAGAATGATTTTTGAAAATTTTCAAACGGCCCTTCTTGTTATTTTGTATCACTTTTAAAGCAGTCTGTATATCTAAATAAATATGAAAGACTTCTGCAAAGGAGAGAAAGAATAACATTTAACAATATAATAATAATAATTATTAAAATTGTATAATGCAAATTAACATTGTTTTTTGAAAAAATTAATATCTAGATTCACACAAAAAAAGTTTTGCTCTATAAAATTATAATTAGTAGACCAATGCTGTATCAATTACCTTCCTCATCTGACTCTCTATATTCCGGTGGTATATATACAGCATAGAATAACATCTCATTTGAAAGATTGGAACGTGTATTACATCTAGGTTGCTTCTCCATATTTTCGTTCTCGTTCATCGCGGATATCTTGTCTTCTATAAAATTCTCGTTTATATAAATTATACCTTAAATAATACTATATATATTTACATATCTATATAAAATCTATATCTATATATATCTATATAAAAATTAGAAATTATATCTATATATAAATTATTCGTGTTTTAATCCGCAAGAATTTTCTTTGATGTAACGACGAGTAAACAAATGCTGTTTATATCTGATATAAATTAGATACCACCTTTGATGTTTCCTTGCGTATGTTTATCGGAGAATGACAGTTGTCGCAAAACAAAGTGTCAACCGGCGCAGTCTGCGATCGTTTTTCATCTCGTATCAATTCGACGAATTTTCGTGATTACTTCACGAAGTTTGAGTTTTTCGTGATTACTTCACGAAGCTTGAGAATATCCCAGGGACAATCTTTCAAGATAATAATTTCCGCAATTTATAGGAAAAGAGATACTACGAGGTAAATAATATTGCTCTATATACAAAATCAAATGTGAGAAATACATGCAGAATTACATTATAACCGTAAATGACAATAACGCGCATCATTTTACGCCATAGATAATAAATAACAATAAGACGAGTATCAATTAACCTAACTGACCCACATTTCACTTGGCTTACGAACTTCGAGCTGATTTACCAATCAGAGCAGCGATCACGTGTGATGTTTTGCTAGGGAAAAATTACATAGTCCAAGCAAAGCAAATTTTTTTGCCTCTTTTATTATTTTTAAAAGTTTAGAGAAAGAATTGATTTAAATATTAAACTTGACATTAAAAAAAATTTTTAAATGCTTGAATTTTTTAAATGCTTGACTATTTTCAATTCAATTCTGCTTCTGGATGGACGATAATTTTCATGTTTAGCTTACCCGATATATTAGAAGTATAAGCATGGTACATCGAATTTATTTTATATATTTACGAATATTTACCAAGTATCAATCGATTTATACACGATGTTGTTTACTAAAGTTAGTAGCACATGAGAATTTAATAAAAACGTGACAAAAAGAAAAGATACATATAAAAAGGCAATAAAACTCCTCTCTTAATGTGCCACGTGTTAGCGCTCTAATAGCTAGTAAAAAAAAAAAAGAAAAAAAAAAGAGTATCGTTTCACGTGTCAATGTAATTCGAGCCGAACGCTCTTATTGGTCGCTTGAGATACTACGCTTTATTAAATATTGCGTTCCTATCGTCTTTCATATTCTTTTCTTATCGCATATTATATTCGATCGATTCATATTTATTATTTTATGATTATCGTGTCCCGTATTTTGAGAAAAATCAGCCCGACATTACGTTTTCAATAATTATCGTGGCTGAGCCCGTGCATTTGAAGAACCACGTGTTATCCAGCGTTGCGTATCTCATTAGCTGTTGGTCATGTGACTGCAAAGGCTCGACCAATCAGAGCGAAGTCCTTATCAAAACGTATCCCTACCCTAGAGACTAGCTGATGCTTGCCGGTTAAATTGTAGAGACGGATTAGTTTGTTGCAGATCGTAAGAAGATTCGGCAGAGACAAAGGAGTGTGTGTACGAAAAGAAGAATATCAGAAGGATTAAAAAAAGGTAAGATATATTCTATTCTTTGTGTTTTCTTTTTTTTGTCACAAAACTATTCGTGTACACTTATTATATATAATTTAGTATTTAATTTCTAACGATGCGGAGTATGTTTCCTAAGTAAACAAATATGAGATATGATGTTAAAACAATGTAAGTACATGTATTTCACAATTCTTCAGTTGGTAGCATTATTCTTTAATTAATTTAAGTGATGAATAACAATGAAATGCTGTGCAAGCTTGCCAGAAAATCTGAGATCAGCGCTTTAGTGTTAGCATCTGGAAGGATCTTTGAATGAGATGCAGATATAAACGGATCATATTACTTCCGAGAGAATAAACTGTATTTGAAAGAGCACGACTAATGGAAAAGAAAGAATAATAATCTCTAGAGAAGAGGTATTCTTTGGAAATAACCTTATACTAAATTAATTATTAATTAATTATTACAAATTTATTGATCGAATTTCGATATACATAGATATAGTTTTTACCATTTCTGAATTTTTTTTCATGAAAAATAGAACAATTATATATCCAATAATTGAAAGAAGCATCGAGGAAAAATATATTCTTTGCAACTATTATCTGAATTTTTAATTTTTTTTAAAACAAAAATAAAATATAAACAATAAAATTGAAAGATATTACGATACTATTTGGATAAAGAACTATTATCTTGTTTTATGGATATATTCAAACCTAACATTCCCCGAAAACAATCGGAATTGTAAAGAAACTATAAGATAAAGATCTCACGTTTTTAACTCCAAATCTTTACTTTTTTTATTAAATTTTCGGGTGTTTTTGAAACGACATCGTCGATTTCTTGTTTATATTTTGTCGTGTGGCTATTCAATTCTGAGGTAAAAAATAAAAAAAAAGATACTCCAAGACGCAGGTAGTAAACTTGCTGAAAGTCGTAAACAGTTTTCCTTGGGTACAATATCTTCCAGATGCAATGTATTTTTTTATGATTGCCCCTCCATTTTAAGTATTCAACGCTTTGAAACTTTGTCCCTTTGTATGCGACGATTTTTCTCGTCACATAACGAGATTTCCTTTCTGCCATTTTTTTCCTTTCTTTTCTTTCCTCCTTTATCCTACTACTCTTTACCGCGATTTGTTTCCGAGTTCGAACGAGTCTGAACACGTTCTTTTTTATTGTAACCTCAATTGCGTTATAATGACAGAATTAAAAATAAATACATATATTCGGTAAGAATTTAGCGTATCATAATAATAATATGTAATGTGTATTTCGTAATAATAATATGTAATGTGTATTTAGAGAAAGAAAGAGAATTTTATATCATTTCTGTGAAATGAATGTTAAATGTACATTACAAGTTGACTTTACAAAAGAGACTGCAATATGTTAAATATTTAATAGGTCTTTTTTATTGATTTATACCCTAACTCATACATGTCCAAAAGATGTCCAGAGGACATAAAATATCCTTTGGCTGTTCTCTAGATATTCTATGGACGTCTTTTGGACATGTGTATTGTTAAAATAAATATTATCATTATTATAATTATTATATATATATAATAAATATATAAATATATATATTTTTTTATATATTTATCTATAGTATGTAATTATATAAACACAATTTTTCTTTGATAAGTTTATTACATATCTTTTGTTTTGTTGATATTACTTATTAATATTTCAATATGTTTTATGTTTAGACAAAAATGTCTCAAAGGGGAAGAGCGAGCCGTGGGCGAGCCATACAGCAGCAGCGTGCAGGAACTTCGCAGGAACAACAGCTTCCGCATGCTCAACCATCGACAAGTGGTGGAGCTATTCGTAGACCAGGACATTCTGCTGCGCAAGCTTCTGCAGTAAGTAGTAATATATGCTACTGTTTAATTACATTTGTACAAGAATAAATTTTTTTATTAAGTTATAACAATGAAGAGATTTATATTGAAGATATGCAATATATATTTTTCTTTTGTCAAATTATGATACAACTCCTAAGATTGTAGGAATATGTTATGTATAAATTGTATGAGTAAATTGTGCATAAATAATTATACATAAATAATTGTTTCATATTCAGTTCTTGTATAAAGTGCTGTTGATGGTTCAAATATGTAATAATAATAGAAATATTTGGCTATTTATAATTAATATAAAACCTTTATGTATCTTTGTATATATTTTCCTTTCATTGATATATTTTATTTGTCTTATATTTTCATTCTATTTCTTTTTATTTGTAATAATTGTTATAATTGGTAATATTATTTTATTTTATAGATTTGATCCATACATTTGCTAATATAAAAATATTAATACAATTAATTTAGAAAGAATTATGTTCTGTAATATTTAATGTATTGTTTTTTCTTCTTTTTGCTCTTTTTATAAAGCAGGACATTTAAAATGGTTTGATCAAGGTTAGTAGTGGTATAAAATTCATTTGCGGTCAACTATGCTTTTTGTTGAAAATTATTTATATCATTTGCTTTTAAAAATATATCGCTCATATTAGTACTTTACTAATTATTATTTTAATTAAAATTTTGACAGTACTTTACTGTAAACTTGTCTTCAAATTTGGTATTCTACTTAACAAACATTAATATGCTGATTTATTGACTAGGAATGACATTCTATTTATTGCAATTGGTAATGGAAGTAAATCTTATGGCAGGTCACTGGTGGACGCGGCCAAATTCAACGCGTTGGCGAGAAAGGCGACAGTGCAGTTGGACAGATAGGCAGAGGCCTGGAAAAAATGGGCATTCAACCTGGTTCGTTTTATTATATTATTGTTTCAGATTTATAAATGATATATAAATGTGTGTGATATATAATTGCATTAATAATATAACAAATAGTACAATTTGCATTAATCGTATAATAAATTCTCAGATATTCTAACATGATTCTTTTTGGACGACAAATATATTATCATGTGTAAGAATTGCATAAGTATAAAATTGATATGTACATTTTGACAAATACAAAAAGTACACATATATGGCTTTCCGTACATTATTTTTTTTAAATTTACAGCTTCAGATATTTTATAAGTATGATCAAAATGTTCTAAAAGTTTGTGTTGTTATTTGAAGATTTATATTTAAACATTCATCTTTTTCGATATTAAATGATATCGAAATTAATATCTTTATAGGTTGCAGTGGAGATGCTGGTGCAGTGGGAGGTCCACCTGTTACACTAAGCGGAAGAGGGGCAACTCGTGGCAAAAGAATTTTGCCTGCGGATATTTTTGTTACAAAACCGAGCCATATAGAAAACAAGAAGGGTGAGCAATAATAACTACTAATAAATTAACTTAATTTATAAAAATACAAAGTAAAATATGTACTTTGTGATTCTTTGCATTTCTTTCTTGCTATTCTTAAATTTAATATTTATATATACAATCTTCCTTTTTTTTCTCTAGAAAATTAATTTTTTAAAATTCTTTTTATGTGTGTGTATTTTTTTTTCTCATTTTTTATTATATTATAATACATTAATTTTCTTATAAATTTTCATGAGTAAATTTTTCAACATTATGTTTTTTTCAAGTACATCAATTTTTTGTAGTATTCTACACTTGATATTAATATTATTTTTTTTGTCTCAAAAATTATTTTCTTATTGTTATTTTTTTTTTATTTCAATGCAATTTTTAGGAAATTCCGGTAATAGAATAGAGTTGCAAACCAATTATTTTAAGTTACTTAAGTCAACCGATTGGGCTATTCATCAGTATCGTGTCGATTTCGCGCCTGAAGAAGATCGCACAGCTGTGCGTAAAGGTTTACTCAAACTGCATCATAAAAATATTGGCGCATATATCTTTGATGGCACTGTAATGTATACGAGTCGTCGATTGCCTGATGTAAGTGTATACATATATGTATGCTTAGTATGCATCTTTTGGAACTTTTGAGTTGGATTTCTCTTCAACATTTTTTCAAGTACATAATAATAATTGCTACATTATTCAGCAAATGACATTTACATCAACTCGACAATCGGATGAACAACATATAACGATTACTGTTCGTCTCGTTGGTGATATGCTGGTGGGAGATATCCATTATATCCAATTTTTTAATATTATTATGAGAAAATGTTACGAATTTCTGGAATTAAAATTGATCGGTCGCAATTATTTTGATCCTGCAAATAAAGTGAGTATAATTTCAGATGCAATTAATATTTTATGCTTAGAAATATTCAATATTTATAATAATAATGGCTTAAATGCAGATTCTCTTGCCGGAACATAAACTGGAATTATGGCCAGGATATGTGACATCTATTCGTCAACACGAACACGATGTATTAATGTGTGCTGAGATAACAAACAAAGTTATGCGATTAGATACCTTAGTAGATATCCTGAACGCTTGTTATCAAGAAGATAGAGAAAGATACAGAGTAAGTTAGGCTTATAAATGATACAGAATAAATTATATTTTTTCTTTTATTTTTAAGGAAGGTTTAGTAAAAAATTATATTTAAGTATTTGTTAAAATTATATTTTTTATTGTTGCTTTTAATTTTATTTAAATTGTGTGCATAAGTGTGTTTTTATATTTTTTTATTTTATAGCAAAAATAAATTTATTTATGTATGTGTGTAGGAAAATTTCGCCAACACTGTAATTGGTACAGTAGTTCTTACTCATTATAACAATAATACATACCGTATCGAAGATGTAGACTTTTCTACGACTCCTTCCAGTTCATTTGCCTTAAGAAACGGCGATAAAATAACTTATCTAGAATATTATAAAAAAAAATATGCTATAGTAATAAAAAATCCAAAACAACCCATGCTTGTAACTAAATCTAAAACAAGAGATCGACAAGCTGCGGAAGCGGAACGAGTTTATTTGGTACCCGAACTATGTCGGGCGACAGGTATGTTATTACTACAATTACTTATTACAGACAACTTTTCCAAAGTTTATTTATATTATTCGTTGCCATTGCATCTTGGAACTTAAAATCAATGATATTAAGTTCGAAGATGATGGCTTTTTATTATAAATGTTTATGAAAATCTGTTTATATATATTTGTCGATTTGTATATAATTTTTTTTAAATTCTTTTGTATTATAACTTGCAGGTTTGACTGATTCCATGAGAGATAATTATAAGCTTATGTCAAGCTTGGCTACACACACCCGTCTCAATCCAAGTTCGCGTATTGGGAAGTTAATAAGCTTTAATAAAAGACTTCTCAATACACCAAAGATTGTACAAGAATTTTCCGAGTGGAACTTAGAATTAGATAAGGAATTACTTACTATACCCGCTCGTGTGCTAGTCCCTGAACAACTTCGATTTGGTGGAGAAGCATATATCAAAAGTGTAAATGGCGACTGGACGAGAGAAATGCAAAATAAAAGATGTTTAATTGCTCAGCAATTGCGGGAATGGGTTTTAATAATTACAGAAAGAGATCAACATGCTCTTCAGGTAATTCTATATATTTATTTGCAATATATGTTTACATTAACGTGTATTATATTATGTTATGCTGTATCCCTCTACTTTTCGTTAATTTATATGTGTGCGTGTGCGTGTACGTGTACGTGCGCATGTATAATTATCTTCATTTTTGAAAAATAACCACAAAATTATTTGTTCTTATATTAATATTTCCTCATCCTTTCATTTATTTGAAATCATTATAAATTTATTGTTTTTATTTTTTAGTATATTACATATAAACTTTATTCACTTCAACATACAGTCAAGAAGCGGCACTTGGTTTACATTGTTTCCTTAAGCTTTCCTGCATACTTCTTTTCTTCATTCACTCCCTATCACACACTTGTACATCTATCCTATATCTATCTTATCTAATTATCCTATCTATTTTTTAATATATTTATTATCTCTATTCTTTCTTTATTTCTTTCTCATAGTATAAATTATTATTATTACTAATATTATTATCACCATTATTATTGCTGCTTATATGTAATTTAAAACAAAAAACTTCAAAAAATTATTGATGTCTTCCAAACAAGCACAACTGAATATTAAGTACAATATTGCGAATTTAGATTAAAACATATTACATTAACATAACAACATAACATAATATAATAAAAATCGAATCCTTGTCTTAATATTTTGTTTCAGAAATTTATAGATACATTAATAAAAGTATCTAAAGGAGTATCGTTTCGAGTGGAACCCCCGAAAGTACAAACTATTCGCGACGATAGACCAGGCACATATAGTGAAACGTTAGAGCGCATTTTAAGCAAAAATATACCGCAATTGGTATTTTGTGTGGTGTCGAACAATCGCAGTGATCGCTACTCAGCAATTAAAAAGAAGTGTTGTGTAGATCGACCTGTGCCATCGCAAGTTTGCTTGTTTAAAACTATGACACATAAGAATGTCATGTCTATTGCTACAAAAATAGCAATACAGATGAACTGTAAATTAGGCGGAGCACCATGGAGCGTAGATATTCCACTGGATGGGTTGATGATAGTTGGATTCGATGTTTGTCATGATACAACTGTTAAAACCAAAGATTTTGGTAAGTGAGAATTCTCGAGCTTTAGAATTTTTCGTAGAAGATTGCAAATTACAACAGTACTTAATTTTCAAAATTAAATCTTGATTTATTTATTCGCTATTTGTTACGATTTCTTAGCTTAAATTAAATTCTTAATTAATTTTGCAAAAATTACCTTGTTGAAATTTTGCATATGTCATGTTTAGGTACTTTGCCACATATAATTTTTCGATTTCTTAATGGTGTGGAAAAATGTGAAGGCAATCTTAGTATATAGTATGTATATTGAATTTGCTGATCTCTCTAAACATTGATTTTTGTCATTACAGGTGCTATGGTAGCGAGCCTTGACAAACGTATGACGAGATATTTCAGTGCGGTGAATGCACATGGAAACGGTGACGAATTATCAAATGATCTTTCTCAAAATATTTGTAAAGCTGCACAGGCATACTATATGACAAACAGAGTTTTGCCGTCGTCCATTGTGATCTATCGTGACGGTGTTGGCGAGGGTCAAATACCACAGGTGATGGAACGTGAAGTTGTGCAGATAAGAAAGTCTCTGGATACGTTGTATGGAGCCCCAGATAAATACAAAATGGCGTTTATAATCGTGACGAAGCGATTGAACACGCGATTTTTCCATCGTAACGACAATCCACCTGCAGGGACGGTGGTCGACGATGTCATCACGAGTCCCATTAAATATGATTTCTTCATCGTGTCGCAAAAGGTGCGACAAGGCACAATAACACCCACCTCGTATAGCGTAATCTTTGACAATCTCAATTTAGACGCGGACAAGATACAACGTATGTCATACAAATTGACCCATATGTATTTCAATTGTTCGAATACTGTTAGAGTACCAGCGCCCTGTCATTATGCTCACAAATTGGCGTTTCTTGTAAGTAGATTCATTCACCGAGCGCCAGATTCGCAATTGCAAAATACTTTATACTTTTTGTAATAGCTCTCTTATATTCCAACATTATTCTTATTATTATTATTATTATTATTTCTATTACTATCACTATCATATTTCATTTTTTTTTTAATTTTATAAGTACCTATATTATAGATACTATCTTTTTTTTTTATTGTTTCTCACAAATTACAAATATCAGTATTTTTTAAATTTATGATTATCTTATAACTTCAAAAAACAGCAGAAAAAAAATTTTAAGTTATCTCAAAAGACACCAGAAAAAGAGAATTCAGATATCAATTACGTTTATAAAAATTTTTTTACATTATAAATGAAGATTTATAAAAAAATAATAATTAGAAAAAGAAGAAAAGATAAATAAATATACACATATAATATATAGACAACTTATCATTTTCGATTAGCACTGCTATCCTAATTTTTCAAATGATCCTAGACTTTCCTAATTCCTTTGAATAAGAAATTCAATTAATCTTCACATAGCGATAGTATAAATTAGTAAAATTACACATGTAAAATATTTGTTAATATTGAACTTTTTTTTTATCTTATAAAAAACATGTGTGTCTTTACCTTACATTCCTAATCTTAATTTTGTTAAATCATTAATACATAAATCTGAAAACGAAATATTTAATATAATGAAAGTAAAATAAGTTGAAAGTAAAATGGATGAAAGTAAAATAGTTGTATTAAATAATATTATATTGTATATTATATAATATACAGTATAATATTGTATATTATGTAATATACAATATTATACTATATAACATACAATTTTGTATTATATTATATAATATACAATGTATTATATTATATAATATAATGTATTATATAATATACAATTAACAAATATTGTATTATACAATATAATATACAATATTGTACTACAACATACAATATTGTATTACAACAATACAATATTGTATTATATAATATACAATATAGTATAATTTATTTTATTATATGATATACAATATTATATATCATATAATATACAATAATATTTGAGACATTTTACCTTGATTGTACTATCGAAAACGAATAATAGAAATATTTGAAAAAAAGAAATTTTACAAAATTTAGTAAGGAATTAAGAATTACACTTTAAGATTTTAATATTTGTCAGTCATTGATAAGACTTTTGAAACTTAATGTGATAATAATACTATTTCCAAGAATGTTATTTCTTATTTCTTAAGTACTACTGTAATCATCAATTTTAAAAATAAATATATATTTATAATTATTTTGCTTACATGCAAGTTATATACTTTATTATACTTGCAAAATTATGTTTATAAAATACACTTCTGATTGCAAAGTAATTTGATAATTAAAATATATATTTTTATTTTCTAATATATTAATAAAAAATATTTTTGATGACGTCAATGAAAAATCTAATTATATGTTTGGATAAAAAATATTGTAAAATCAAATATACAAAATATATTGTTCAAAAGAAAAAGTTATCGTGTATACATTAATTTGGATATAATTTATAGATTTTCTCTCCTTGCTCGCTCTCTCTCTCTCTCTCTCTCTCTCTCGCTCTCGTAATTCTACTTTTTACAGAAAAACAATCTCGAAAAATTTATCTTAATTTTCATTGGTGCCAACAGGTCATCCCTTAATTATATGCTTATTTTGAATTGTTATAATGTTATAAACTTTCTCATAATGATCAAATCAGTTCATGTATTAATTTATGACGTAAAAAACTTCATTATTAAAAAATATGTTTCATATTTAGATATACTATCAAGATATTTGCAATTTATAATAGTTAAATTTTTTAACATTTGATATATAATTTCACATGTATATGTATAATTTTAAAAATATGTATAACTCAAAAAAATGATATACATATCTGTACAATGCATGTTTAAAATTTATAAGAAATATAATACGCACTCTTTTTTTGTAATTAACTTTTTATAATACTTTCTTAAATAAATTTTAATCTTAAAACATTTTTAAAAATATTTCATTTTTAAGTTCTAATAAAATAAAATTCTTTCAGTTATTTTAGAATGAAACGTAGACAATTGCAATGATCTTGTATTCATAAGAATTGCGAATGGAGAAATACAGGATGCAGGTTTAGGATTAAATATGGAAAAAAAGATATATATAATTATATATATATATATATATAATTTTGTTTCAATGAGTCCTGTTACAGACATTGTATAAAGTTCGCATTGTTCTCAAGATGTTAGCAAGCGCAAAATTACCATTTTTCGCTGGTCGCACCTCCCCAACTTTGAGTAGCGGGTGCTGCCACAGGTGTCGACCACTCCTCTGGAGGCTAAACAAGTAAACATCAATTGATAATCATTATTACGTCACACATTTATTATAAATATACATAAAACCTAATGAAATTATAGAATATATATATCAAGAGAAATGTCGATTTTATCACAAATTGCAAAAATGTTATAAGAGAGCATAACTCGAATAAATCAGAATAATAGCCGAAGAGGAATAGATATATCTTACCTGTGCAGCCCAATCGCCGCTTGGTTGGAATGGCTGTGCCGCACCAGCTGCCGCGGGAATAGCAGCAGCTGCTGGAGGTGCTACATCATCAGCCCAATTCTCGGTGGCCACGGTGGTCGACTCGACTTCGTTCACCCAGCCGGGTTCCGCAGCAGGGGCAGTCTCCACCGGACCCGTGAATTCTTTCACTGGCGCGATCTCTTTTGCAGCTTGTTCCTCCTTCTCCGCCTGGAAAAAAGATAATTTCGCACATTTGATTAGTAATCCGATAAATACAGCGAGAAATTTTTTTTTCTTTTTACTTTCTCTCAGAAAAGATTAAGCCACAAAAAACCAACAGAGACTTGCTTCTGGATCTTTTATTTTCTATCATCACTATAATAAATTTCAAAAATAAGAGAAGAAGCAGTAGCAAAATTGTACGAACCTCTTCGGGATCTCTATAGAAGAAGAGATCGACAACTACATCCCACTTGGTCTCGCGCGGGATAGATCCTCTCAATCGAAGCACTTCTCTAGCGAGCAACCACCACATCAGACCAACGGTATGCAAGCTCTTAGTATTACACGGGATCGCGATATCCACGAAACGCAGCGGCGAATCGGTGTTGCAAAAAGCGATAACAGGAATATTCACATAGCTGGCTTCAGTAATAGGTTGATGATCGGTAGACGGATCCGTAACAATCAGCAGACGCGGTTCACGGAAGGCAGCCTAAAAAAAAGTCGGATCATTGTACATTCGACTGACTTTTCTGTTTGAAATATCTGATGACATTGAAAGAAAATCAGAAAAGATTAAGCCAAAAAAAAGCCAACAAGTGTCGATTCTGGAAAAGTATGTTTCATCATTGTTGATTTACTTTTAACGCAATGTAAAATTAAATGAAATTTTCGCTCATCCGCTACATTTCTTCACCTGAATCTGATTGGTAAATGCACCAGGAGTGAACCGTCCAGCGATAGGGGTTGCACCGGTATGGGCTGCAAACTTCAGCACGGCTCTTTGGCCCGAATGACGACAACTGATGACGAAAACTTCACTAGGATGCTCGATGGCGACGATGGCACGAGCCGCAAGCAGCAGCTTCTCCCAGGTGTGGCGCAGATTGATAACATTTACACCAGCACCTATGTAAAAATATATAATTTAATAATTATAAGGTGTTTAAATTAATTTAATTTAGTAATGTTTGAAATACATGAATAACTCACCATCAACTCTCTTCTTATAGACGTACTGTTCCATCTGGAAGTTGACATTTTCAGCACCCAGGTGGGTACCAGCAGCCAACATCTTGGTAACATCGTCCTCTTTGAGGGCTAATACGTCTAAACCTCCTGACATTTTAACGTTGTGGTTGAATTACGAGTCAACCTGAAATAAAGATTTGTTTTTAATTTATAATAATATATCAATATATAAAGTAACTAAAAAAGTTTATGCAACTTCTTCTATTCATTCAAGCCATAAATTTTTGATATTTTATATATATTGACATACATTTTTAACATCAAACTATTTTTATTTTGAAAAAAAAAAAAAAATTATTGAAAAGTTTAAGTACAATTTTTATAAGTGAAATAACTCGACTCTCTTATATTCTAATCTAAAAAAAACCTATATAAAAGTCTATAATAATTTACAAAATAATTTCTATTAAAAAATAATTTTAAAACTCGTAATGTTATAATTTTATATGCGAAAAAAATAAAATTCAATATAAGTTAATACAATAAGATTATTATATCTGGAAAATGCGCCGAAGATGGCGTACATAACCTCAAAATCAAGCGATATATTATTATCCATTATATTTTAATTATAGAAATATTTATATAAAAATTGTTTGATAATTAATTGCTTTCTCTTGTTTGAAAACATATGCTTAAAATATGAACCATAGAATTACATGTAACATAATTTAAAATTATGAAACGTGCCACGTGCAGTCCAGCATACATTTTACAAACCGGTTGCTAAAAATAGTCATCCTAAACAAAATTTTATTTGAAATAAATTTTTAGAAATTCTCGTATTTATAACGAATCCATTTTGCCTAACTTTCTACCTGGAAAATGTAAAAAAATTAGATAAAAATGTACCAATCCTTACGTTATAGGATGCCACTAGGAGACCACAATTGGAAAGGAAGTTAGATACGCCATACGTTTACATTCGAACGACTGCATGATCAAAATAGCTGTACTTTTAAACGAGATGAATGAATATGAATAGAGAAACTATTAAAAAAAATTAGTTATAAAAATTTAATTTTAAACGAAATAATTTTTAGACGACAGAATATGAAAATAATACTTACGTTGGATTTCAGCGCCACGTTGTATGTAAATTGCGTGCGAGATTCAAAACGCGTATTTACGTTCGTAGTAGTTTACGAGTTATCATTGTACGGCGAGTATCGTATGCATTATGTACAATTTATATATTTTTCTAACATTTTTTTACGTAAGAAAGATAATTCTATCTAGAATATGTAAATAATCTGATGAAATATCGGATAAATTTAATAAGTTGGTTTTGTAAATATCGCAATTTTCGTATTAGATTTAACCTCAAAATGTTGAAAAGTGGACTGTCAGGAAGGAGAAGATCCGCTCTGTGAGAGAACGTAATTTATTGTGTACAGTTTGTAAGCGAGAAATGCGAGAAAATGTATCCCGCGAATCACAAAACTATATTCGTCCTGGATCACACTCCGTACTTTGGCATCTCCACCGAATGTCCATTAGAGTTTGACTTTCTGAAGAGTAGGGGACAGAATCTGATTCCGCTAGCACCGGTCTGTAAGTCCTTGTGGACCACCAGTGTTGAAGCCTCACTGGAGTACTGTCGTATTGTGTGGGACCTCTTTCCCACAGGCAAATTGGTATACTTTTTAATAATGAATCTGTTACAAAATATGTTACAATATATTATTATCATATGTCGCTTCTTTTTAGATTAGATTCGTGGTCACTGATCGTGCTGCTTATGTATTGAATTCATGGAGTCCTCTGCAACAGAATTTGAATCATGTAAGTTCTTACAAATTTATACATTTATTATTTTTATATTTATATATTTATTGAATAATAGTATTGTCTTTTATATATAATTACTAACATAAGTGTCTTTATTAATATATATATTTTTAATAATAAAAACACGTAACTTATTTACAGATAATGAATGGCACAGCTATTTTGGGAGTCCCACCAAAGACACCAGATCCTGGTGAAGATTATTCAGTGATACATGGTCTACGTGTGGCAATTGAAACTCTAAATGAGTGCTCTGAGATACAGCATGAAAAAAGAACTTCTCTGAATGAGAATACTACTAAGTTGGTAAACAGGGGTAGAGTAATATGTATCACAAGTGCACGTGACAACAGCAATATGAAGAGTTTAGAGAATATATTTCTGAATGAATTAGCACAGGAAAACAAGACTGCGCTAGCCTCAGATCAGTTAGTAATTTTTTTTTTTTTAATATTCCATTAAATCATTATACAACAATATTTTAAACAGTCATATTTTTGTTTATGCAGCTTGATACCCATTGATTATTGTCACCTGGTTATATTGAATATATATCCCAATAATATAGAGTCTCAAGTCACTAGTCAAGGCCCACGAGAGGTATGTTTTTAATAATTTATAAAATTTTTACATTTTTATTTTATATATATATATATATGTATATATATATATATATATATATATGTATATATATATATATATATATATATATATATATATATGTATATATATAACTTTTTAAAAAATATAAAAACTCATAAAAAACAAAAATACTTTTATGTATAATTTTAGTTTTAAACAATTTAAAATATTTCCTGTATTATCAGTTTGAATGCTATTTAATCTGTATTATTATACATAATGTGAAAAATAATGTCTAAATTAATTTTTTTTTATAGATATCACCTTTATTAACAGTAGAAGTGCATTCAATCAAGGCCTCAGCACTTCACTCCAAATTATCGCATTTGATTTTGTCTCATTATGATCTAGCCAGTACCACAGTGACAGGTATACCAATGAAAGAGGAGCAAAATGCCAGTTCTTCTGCTAATTATGATGTGGAGATATTTCATTCTTCTGCTGCACATACTGCAATTTTAAAAGGTATCTTAATCATTTTTCTTTAAAAGTAATCTTCAAATTCAGAAATAATGGAATTTTTCTTGTAGCAAATCCACAAGATTCAGCATTAATAAAAACCTTCAGACGTTTCGAAGAAGGATCGGAGTATGAAACAGTTACTCTGAAGTGGTGTACACCGCGTGGTTGCAGTGCATCGGAAATGCAATATTGTACGGCGATGCATCGTATCACGCCGGTTGATGTCAACAGTAGGCCGTCCTCTTGTTTGATCAACTTCTTATTAAACGGACGATCGGTGATGTTGGAGATGGCCAGAAAAACTGGCGGAAAGACCATTTCTCATCTGTTAGCAGCACATGGTGGAGAGATTTTTATTCATACTCTATCCACTGCTCGAAGTGTACTTGAGGATCCACCATCAATTAGCGAAGGCTGTGGCGGACGAGTTACGGATTACAGAATAACTGTAGGGTATTTTTATAATTATTAATTATTTTTAATTGTCTTTTATTAAAAATTTTGTATAAAGACATACATTATCAGTTAATTCAATGTTATATAAAATATTCTGTTTCAAGAATAATGTCAATTATTTTTGTTTTCAATAGAAAGAAACTAATAATTTTTCCTTTTTATAAATCACATGTAACATTTTTAATTTACAATAATAAGTATTATTAACTGGAAAATATTTTTGGGAATATTTTACAGGATTTTGGTTTCTTGATGCGAAATAACATACTAGTACCACTTAAACGTACTTCCAATTCTAATGATGATGGTACAATAGAAAAAATGAGATCAAGATTGGAACGTCATACTAAATATTGGCCCATGACTATTTCTAGTACTCTCATGTTTAACTTAAAACAGGTTTGTATAAAAAAAATTATGAATCATATTTTCAAGGAGAATTAGAGACAATTTTTATTTTCATATCTAATAAGTACTACCTAATAATATAATTATTAGATAATAAATTAATTATCAAAATTAACAGATTTTGATACATTCCAATGTAATCTTAAAATATCCTCCAATAATTTTTAATTTGTCTTTATAAATATAGAAAATTATTTTTAGAATGTTATGATATTAAAATATTTTGAAAATATAGATTTCGGATACTGAAAAATCTTAAGTTTTAAAAAACTTTTAATACTAAATATCCTTAAACTATTTGCATAGGTGATAGATCCGCTCGCAGAACTAATGGTGAAGGAGGAATTAACCACGGATGAAGTATTACAGTGCAAACAAGTAATCTTCAGTGTACTCGGATTGGAAGCAAAGCATGAAACGTTGCCGCTGCCGAATATTGGTGGAGGTCGTGGCGGCAAGGGAGGAGTACGTAGAGAAGAACATTATCGTTTATTATGGGATGAGATGGAAACATTTCTCAAGCATCACGCGAATAACTCGGCTGCGCATACCGAAGTGCTGACTTGTCTATTGGAAATCAGAAATAAAGATGACAAGGACAAAGTAGAGCTTGATCAAGCTCTACGCGAATTAGACAGGTAATTGAATAATTGAGAAAATTAAATAAGAGAAACGCGACTTATAAATTAATATTTTAAGATATAAATTTCTTTTTATCACAAAATGCTTTTTATTTTTATATTTTTTATATTCTTGACGTGTTTATTTTTCTATTCTTATTTAATGATTATTATAATATGAATATCAATTTTACTGCAATTATTTTATTATTATTTTATTTATTTTAAAAAGAAGAAATATTCTGTGATACTAAATTTCACATATGTAATACATCATAATCGATGTTATTCCCTTAATTTCTAATTATCATATTTATCATAAATAATTAACTTTTATTACATATTTTTATTTGTAATTATCATATTTATAAAATTAAATTTTATCTGTTTAAGAAAGATTAGTAATAATTTGAAAAAAAATATTAATTTATTACTATGATATTATTATATTAAAATTTGAAAATTTTGGTTTATTGTTCTTGAATAAATGAATGAATTGAATAATATATGAATAAATGAGAAGATATTTAGATATAAAATAGCAAAACAAATGACATTTGCAAAAAAAGTAGAAATTTAAAGGTCAAATATCTAGAGATTAGTTAGAAAAGGGTAATTGGAGAGTCTACAAGTATTTAAAAATACTTTGATAATCCTATAAGAAATCTAAAAATTTAAAGATTGACGAATCTCTAAAGATCTAAAAGTCTAAAGATTGATTTTTTCATAGTTTTGGTAAGGAAGATGGAACTGCTCGAGTTAGCGTAATTAGAGCGACGACAGATTCGCCGATGTCGCCGCCGGCGAACGTGTCAATGCCTCTAAACAAGCAATTACACAAAGCCAATGTTGGCTCGAAGAGTCTCCTGGATATTTGGCTACAGCGCAGTGCTCCAAAAGATAGAAAACCAGACTTTCATGGTAGAATCAACAGTGATGGTCTTAAAGCGAAATTATATCCAAATTTGAAAGATACGGGAAGAGAACCCAGAGAGACCATTCTAGAGGGGTAATGTAAAGGAAGATTTGGAGAGAAAGCAGAGTGCATCCTGCAAAGATGCTGTATATATAACGTAAATTTAACCAATGTATTAAATATATATTTTATGGAACAATATTATTCGTGATAAAATAAATTTGATAAGCTGGAATTATGAAGAAATATTATGATCACGTGTATGAAGAAATATTATGATCATGTTAGAATATTAAAAGCAATTATATATTTCTTACATTAAAAGCAAGTATATATATATAGTACATGGTTTTAATTTTGTTGGTTTATTATATATTATATGATAGAGAAAGAATTTTGAAATATATTTCTTTCTCTATCTTTAAATTTATAATTTTATGAGTTGATATAGAAATATTGGAAAGCAATTTTTTTTAGATATATAATAATTGTGATAAAAGATATAAATATTTCAAATTGATTCTATAAAATTATGTAGCCATTTAAAACTGACATTTTTGTAAATTAAACAATTAATCTCTTAAAATTTGTAAATTTTATAAAAACGAAGTGTTTATGCAAGTGAGAACGAAAGACTCTCTAGAAGTTCATAGAGCAGGATGTTAAAAAATCCTAAAAAGTTAGAATGGAGAAATGTACTTGAAATACAAAAAAAAATCTAAAAATCAAGAATTCTAAAATTTGCAGCCAAGGATTTTATCTATCACAAATGGAATCACAAATTGAAAATTCAGGAATTAAAATTCGTGCAAGAATTGACAGATAATCACAGTTAAAAATATATAACAAGAATTTTAAAAAAATAGGATTTATTACAAACTGGAACTCTGTGACTATAAGAATAGACTCAAATTACGAAAGAACATTGTAATACAATGTCTTATATGCGACATTATAATACAACGTCTATATGTAATAAGCTAAGAAAAATTCAAGAATGCAGCTGAGATGCGGGAAGTATAACGACGAGACAAAACTAGAATACAAGGATACAATTATCCGAAATTGCCATCGGGTAGCTCGACACATGTGAAGATTCATCTACCTACAAGAGTACGCGGGACAAGTAAAAGTGTATCAGTGGTACAACACGATTCCAGCTCCCACCTTTTCCTCCGCCGCTCTTCCGACCGCATCCCTCTACCTCTCCGACTGTTTTATAGTCGACACGTCTGCCGAGTGTCTGAGCCGTCTAAGCGATACATCGACCTCTGTCGAATCTATAGTTCACTTCGACATGCGGCTCCCACCGTTCTAATCGATGAATGTGGGAGAACATCAAAACGAGAGAGAAGCAAGGAGAAGAACTCGATCGCGTGTATTGCGTGTAACACAGCGTTCTCTTTCTCTCTCTCTCTCAATTTGAGAGAGGTAGACAATAAGAGGGAGAGACAAATATACATAGACGCATAGACGGAAGAAAGCCCGTAGTATAGGGTGACCATTGAGAAGGTATTGAAACTAAACTGACTAGTTGTAGATATATGGTTCTACTCGATGCAACCCTTGTCCGAGTAGGGGAAAGATATAACGATTTATTCGAGGATTTGCAAGTTTACAGAACAATAGAAGCATCTAAACTCAAGATTAAAGAACTTGAAGCAGAACAAGACATCAAAGGAATAAACATTGAGAAATAAAAAGGTGAAAGTTTTAAATGATAAGAAAAATCTTGGGTACTACGAATTGAAGATCCGAGATAACTTCTTTAAAGTTTAACTGCTCGACAAAGTCAATTGTCCTAGACTCTTTAAAGATCCATTTAAATTTATTCATAATTTGCTCCTCTAAAGGGAGAAGTATAAAATTAGAAGAAGAAAATTATGTGACAATCAAATCGATCTATTTCGAGCGAGGCCATTACTTATGCTGCACCTTATATAATGCAAACTGCTAAAAGAGAGACAGAGAGACGGGATGGTGGCAAGGGAGGCGAGAGGATTACGAGGAGGACGAGAAAGAGGAGGAGGAGGAGGAAGAGGACGAGGAAGAAGAGGAGGGTTGCGGAAGGGGACCAGTGAGTACAAGTGCATGACGTAACGGTTCATTCATCCCGAGACAGGCGATAGAGGATATCCCGGTCAATGGTATACTTATGCATGTAAACGCGCGCACACGTATGACGTACGTAAGTATGAGTATGCAGCATGCACATGTCCGTCGCGCTGTTCATTTCTTTTTTTTTCCCCGGACGTACGCACCACGTGCATGCGTGCGTGCGGAGATGTGAAGCAACACGTGATAGAATGTCCATTTGGGTTTTTTGTTTCTCCAACTTTTGTATTCTTCCCAATTTAGGGAGTTTATTGTATTTCTTAATTTTGCAATTCAGCAAATACGTTCTTCTATCATCAAATCTCTCCACATGTTTCAGTTAAATGTCTTATGCTTGTCGCGATGAATTTATATCTAATTCAATTACATTATATATTGCTATATTATGAAGTATAATTAAATGTTATATATAATAAGTAATGTTATATATATTTTTACTTTTTAAATATTTTGTATATGTATATAATTTCGATATCTTATTCAAAACAAGTTGGGGTCGGTTTCAATGATTTCAGCAAAATTTGAATTTTATCATAAAAATGTTAATATTTTTTACAAGGAATACGGTTGAATACGCAAAATTGCAAATTTAATTGGCAATAATTTTTATTGACATATATGTAAATTGCAAATTTAATTGGCAATAATTTTTATTGACATATATGTAACAACTATTAATTATCGTGAGTATCACAATTATTCTTCATTATATGTGCAATTTCAAACTTCGCTATTAAATACAAAAGGTTTTAGAGATATATTAACTTACTGAGAGTTTCTCAAATAATATTTTTAAACATTTTCGTATATTTATATAGAATAGTTAGCATATCTTTACAAGATCATTTATATGTTTTATACATCTTTAACATGAAACATATCTTGTTTTTTTCTTTATTTATATTACAAAATAGCATTTTGTAATATACGCTTTTTATTAATTATAACAAACGCTTTTTATTAATTATATGTCAAAGAAATGTACAAACATTAAAAAATATAATACAAATAATTGTAATAATAACAATAATAATCTTTCATGATTACATTAGTATTATATTAGTATTTCATGTGTAATGACATTAGTACATATTATATGAGAAACTTTCTTCCTCTCTCTCTAACAGATTTTATTGAAAAAAATATAAGTCTCGAGATATCCATATTTTTATCTAGAACAAATATAGTGATTATAATCGCTGTATAATTAATAACATTAGAGAGATGATAGTATTGATTACATATAATCTATCTTGTCACTGATATAAGACAAAAATATTTGACAGACACAAATATATTGCTAAAATTGCGGTGGAAATCTGAAATTCTAGTTTTAACTCCTCGCCCGAATCAATGATCGTTGTTATATAATCGAACATTCATATATTATGCAAAGTGAGGAGGGGGGAGCTACACGAAGTATATATACAACGAATCAATATCAATGAAGTGCGATGATATGCGCTTCTATACGGATAATTATTTATAGCGTCGTCAATATTTTATGTCGTAAATGTTACATGTGGTACATAACGGCGGCGATATTGAATATGTTAAATAGATGTATTAATTGTGTTGCTCTGATAGCAGAGCTACTGTATCACGCCACGACGAGATACGGGAGTGTGCAGCGTTTATATAATTGAAACTCGCGAGTATAGCTGGTACATATCGATCGCGGCCTCCGAGGGTCACTGAACGAAACGAGGGAACGAACCGGGTACAGCGCGAGCAGAGCGGCGTCCTTTTGCGCCAATAAATAATTATAGACGGGAATTTTAAAGACGAGAGTCTCAATGAATGTCGATTATGACAACAAGATGAATTTATCAATTAAACAATTTCGATTGAATTAAATTTATAAAATGCACAAAAAATTTTTCGCATACTATCGCTGATCTAGATATACTTTGTATGCATAACTATTTTTTCTATTTTTATGAATTCACTTATTTTTTATTCATTCAATTATACTATCTATCTATCTATCGATATCTATATTCGACAGAAATGATAAATTGTAAATTCAGAGTTAATTAAGTGAGATTATTACGCAGATTAACGTAAATTGTTTGAGCTAAAAATTAATTAGCTTTGAAAAGTGACGCTAAGTTATTTAATATTTTATATTGTAATATATATTAATTTTTATACTTATTAATTTAACTTATTTTGTATTAATTATTTATTATCATACTTTTTATTTTCTAGTCTTAGCTGTTATGTATATTTATTTGCTACATTTCAAAATATTAAGATTTTTATAATTTTCATATACATATATCTTTCAGATATAAGATTAATTAATTATTTAAATGCAAATTAAAATATCAATAATAGCTTACCCTTTAAACATGCCTTTTATATGTAATTTTATTTTATTTTATTTTAAAAAGGCACAAAATGTTGTTATATTAATAATTTAATATACTTCTTAAAATATTGATTTTTATTTTATATATAAAATTTATCTGTTTTATACATGAAGCTGCTGAATAGATAATATATTTCTCAAAATATTAATTCTTATTTGTTTCAGATTCAAAAATATGTTTAAATGTAAAGTTATTTTTCGATTATATATATATATATATATATATATATATATATATATAATTTGCAATTTTAGTTCGAACTTTTGTATCCGATATACACTCGACGACGGAAGTAGAAGCTCAGGCTTGAATTTTTCAGGGTATTCCATAGAGTCCCATTGAAGACTTGGCGGCAGCATGGAACCCGTTTCCCCTTCGTAGGGCTGCCGCCCTTCAAGGCTTACGGTCGGACTGGCTCTTTGTCGTCCCTTTGAGCGACGTCCCTGCAGGATGTACGAAGCACTAAAGCGAAGCACAGGGACGTATTGTATGGAGAAATATACAATATGTACCTAAGGTTTTTTCAAACGCCAGGAGAACTGCATTAAAGTACAAAATTAACAATACGAAAAAAAAAGTCATTAAGAAGACATGCTGTAATAAATAT